ACCTGCCTGGCATCGGCAGACTCCCCCGCTCCGGCCCCTGGGCCAGCTCCGGCCCTGGCTCTCCTGTCCCGTAACCCGTCGTGACTGGCCGCGCCCCTCACTGCGCCAACGTGCAGGCTCCGGCTCCCTCAGCTTCCCCCACCCCCTCCCCAGGCCGGTGCCCCGAGGGCCCGCCGCCAGGCCCACCCTCACCGACACGGCGTCACGGTGCCCCGTGAAGGTGTGCAGGGGCCTGCAGCTCGGGGCCTCCCAGATGAGGATGAGCTTGCTGCGGTCGCCCGAGGCCTGTGGAGGAGGACAGTAGCCACGGTGCCCTGTGCCCGGACCGCCCGGCCGCCCCGGGGCCACGGCCTTACCAGGTACTTGCCGTCGGAGGAGATGGCCATGCAGAGCACGTGGCTGCTGTGGCCTGGGGGCTGCCCCTCAGCGCCCTTCTTGGCTCGTGGGATCACGTGAAGCTTCCGTCCGCTCTCCACGCTCCCTGCGCCGGGGGAGAGGCGGCTGGGAGAGGCGGCAGGCCTGGCTGCCCCCCGCTCCGGCCAGCAGGGGCCGGGGACAAGTCCTGGCCTCAGGCAGACCCGGCTGAGCACTGAGGTCACTCCGTTTCCCCATCAGCTGAGCGGGGACAATAGCCCTAAGGGCGGCTGCGCAGCCCAGGAGGAGGGAGGGGAAGTGCTGTGGGGCTGGCGGTCCTGTGGGGGAGGAGGCTGGGACCCAGGAGGGCGGGACAGGGTCCAGGCCCAGCAGCAGAGACCCCCATGGCTCCTCCTGCCGCTGCTCCCCGTCTCCACTGAGCGACAGGGAGCTCCGGAGGCCCACTCCTGGGCAGAAGCTGCCACGGTCACCCAGAGGCTTCTGGAACAAAGCTGCCTTAGGCTGCCCTGTGCCTCCTTCCTCCAGCCCCGGCCGTGGAGGGAGGCCCGGAGGGCTGCCCGGCACGCACTCACACTTAACGATGGAGCAGTCCTTGGCGGCGGAGAAGATGGCCGAGTCGTCCGGGGTGACGACCACGCAGGTGATGGAGAGCTGGTGGCCCCGGAGGACTCGAATGTCGCCCGGGGCTGGGGCCTGGACCTGGCGGGCAGGTCTGTGTCGCAGCGACTGGGGCAGGAGGCACCCCACCTACACACGTGCACTCACGCGCACACACGCGTGCACACCCTCCCCGCCCAGAAGGAAACCAGACCCAGGCTGCGAGCCCACCATGTCCCCCGCAAAGACCCCGCAGCCTGAGTCCCAGTGGGGCCATCTGCCCACCAACCCAGGTGGGACCCCCAATTCCCTCCCACCTTACACCCAAGTGCCCCCAACTCACCTCCTTCGCCACCGCCTTCTGCAGCCTGCCCCTCTGCTCGAGCTGCAGGGAGAGGGCGGGTGAGGCCCCCGAGCCAGCCCAGCCCCCCTCCCCCCTCACGGGACTCCCACACACACCACATCCTCCTTCAGGCGCCCCGCCACCTGGTCCTCCTCAAACTGGCGGGCCTCGGCCTTCTCGTCCTCTGTCGGGCAGACAGAGCAGTGAGCCAGGCAAGACACACCTGCCTTCCCTTCCCACCCCGCCGCCTCTGCCCCAGGCCCCCGGCACTGGGCTTGGCCCCCGGGTGGTCCGGCGGCCAGTGTCTCCTCCTGCCTCTACTGATCAGATCTGCCTACCCCGCCCCCCAGGAGGTCCCAGGGCGGCCCGCCGGACACCTGCCGCTGGGCACCTGTGTCCGTCACCGCTCAGGGCAGGGCCAGCAGCCCGCCGCGCTGCCCGCGCGGCCCACCTTGCTGCCGGAGCTGCTCCAGGTAGAGCTTGGCCAGGCGCAGCTTCTTCTCCTGCGCGGTCTCCTCCAGCTCCTCCTGCTCCTCCTCCTCCGTCCTCCTGGGAGCGGGGCTGAAGGCGGGGCTGCGTGAGGGGGCGCACCCACCCGCTGGCACTGGGACGGCTGCTCCCCTGCCCATCACCGCCCCCTCCCTGCCAGCCCTGGGCAGTGCTCGCACCAGCAGCAAACAGGAGGTGACTGGGCGAGGGCCACAGGGCCCGACAGCGAGAACAGAGCCAGCCCAGAGGCACGTGCCGCCCGCCGCCCGCGGGGACAGGAAGGCTTACAGCCCCAGCAAAGCGTCATGGGAAGGGTCTGGAACAGCAACCCTGACAGCGGGCGGACTCGTCCCGCACACAAATTCCCCGGAACTGCCCGCGTCACACCTTCGGTGACAATGACGACTGGGTCAGATGGCCCAAGGGCCAGGAACTGGTCCTCTCTCCTCCTTTTAAAGATGGAGACCCAACTGGCGAGCCAGGCAGCCCAGAGCTCCGCCCACCACCCAGCCGTGGGGAGCAGCCAGGCCAGGCTCGGAGGCCGACAGGTGGGGCCTGGCACCGCCGGCCGCCATGGTCCACCTGCGGAAGGGATGGCAGTGACGCTTCGTGCTCCTGGCTCACCCTCGTGCTGCTGCTGTGTCTTAACCCACCCCACGTTTTAACTCTCCCAGTTCCGCACACTTACACCCCGGACTTGGGACGTGGCTGATTCCCCACTGCCTTCCCTGCCTCCACAGGGCGCCCCCTCACTCCCCGGCCCAATGCAGTGCCCCTCCTCCGTCCCCAGAACACACAGCTGCAGGACTGGTCTGTCCCCGCACCTTCCTCTTCACCGGCCTGCTCCCCCGCTGAGGGCCGGGAGGGAGCCCCGGACTGTGACACCGTGGGGAAGGGATGAAGAACTAGCGGCATTTCTCGTATGCCTCTCCCCTTCCAGGTGGGCCCACCCGTGCCCAGCCCCCTGCCCTGAGCCAGGGAGATCTCTGCCTCCCACTGGGCCCGGGGCTGGGGGTCCGCCCCACAGAGGTCCTGCCCGGAAGGAGATGAGATTTCTCAGGATCAGAAACTGCAGGGAAGAGCCAGCATCTGAGAGCCAAGGACCGGAGACCGGGGTTCTAACCCCCTTCCGCCCCGACGCACTGAGACTCCCAGAAGCCTGGGCCTCGGCGGCCCCTTCCGCTGCGCGGAGAAGCGCTCACCTCTCGCCCTCGGAGTCGCTGGAGATCTCCTCGTTCATCTTGCCGCCGCCCTTGGACTTGCCCCTGTCCCGGGCCGAGTCGGCCTGGGAAGTACACGATCCTCCCTGTGGTCAGGGGTCCGGCCACGCCGGCACTGACTCCGCCGGCACTGACCGAGGGCCCTTCCGGGCCCCAGAGCTCTGGGGCGGGAAAGGCCTGGGCCCCCGCTCAGTGCGAGGCCACCCGGGGCTCGGCGGGCGGAGAGAGGGACGAAGCTGACAACAGCTGCAGCCCCAGGAGAAGGGCCGGGCAGGGGATGGAGGGGATGGAGGGCCTGGGAGGGGATGGAGGGCCTGGGAGGGGATGGAGGCGGGATGACGGGGGCCGACCCGGGGCCGCACACACGCCATGCTCACCTTTCGCCGCCGCTTGCCGGGCCCCGCCCCGGCTCGGGCCCCCGAGGCCGGCTTCCCCCGCTTCCGAGCCCCCGCAGTCGCCGACATGCTGCCCCCGGGCGTGTGGCAGCGGCCCCGGCGCACTCACGTGGCGGCTGAAACCCGGCGGTCTGGCAACACTCCGCGCCCTGATAGGCCCCGCGGCCCAGCGGGCCCCGCCTCCCAGGCCCCATTGGGCTCTTTGATAGGCTCCGCCACGCCCCCAAGCACCAATAGGGCCCTCGCCTGTGGACACGCCCCCCTAGAACTCCCATTGGCTCCCGCGCCGGGCTCTTCCGGCCTGACGCTGGTGCGCGTGCGCACTGCTGCTCAGCTGCCATCTAAGGAGGGGCGAACCGGGGGAGGGCCCTCTCTGTGTTTTCGCCCCTTGGACGCTTGGGGGCGCCGGAGATGCGGGGTTCCGAGTCCCAGGACGCGACTCCACCCCGTCAGGGGCGGGGACCAGGGTCTGGCACTAGGGAACTGGTGGGGTAGGGGTGGGGATCCAGGCTCCCCAGGAGGAAGGTAGGCAGTGCCCACACCTAGGCCCAAGGTCACTGGGCACCGGTGGGCACGCGTGCCATGCCTGAGCCCAAGGAGCAGCCCTCAGGGCGCGCCAGCCCTCTGGGCCCTGGCAGTGCGGGATCGAGCGTGTCCACCCATTCGTGGCACAGGCTGCACTGCGCGCGCCGGCCTGACCCAGCCTCTGACTCACCCGCCCGGTGACCACATAGCTGGAATCCTACACCACCACAGCCCAGCCTCTCCCCGCCTCTGGCGACAGTCAGGAAGTCCCTCCCTAAGTCACACTTCAGGCTCACAGAGGGTTGCTAACGGGGCCCCTAGAACGGGGACTGCCCTGGGAGGTCCTGGTACTGGGCCCAAGACCACCATCTCTCCCAGGTCCCTGCTTCTCTTAGGTGAGTGCCCTATGGCCCTGGTCCGCAGCCCTGGGCAGGGCAGGGCAGGGCAGGGCAGGGTGGGGCTGCCCTTGCCCACTGGCAACTCAAGACCACTGGAACGCTGGCTGGCACCCCTGAACTATTGACCTCACTGGGAAGGGTTTCTGGGTCACTGGGTCCCAAGCTCGGGAGCAACCAATCTGGCCCCAAGGGTGCTGCCCCCTGGCCAGCACTGCCCATTCTCCTCCATAGCTGGGTGACTCAGCTCAGCACCCATACCAGCCTCAGGCCGCTGAGAAGGGGGAGGAGCAGGCAGAGCCCGGAGTGCTCTGGAGGGAGGAGGAACCCACGAGTGGGAGGGAAGACTTGTGTTTCACTTTCTCTACGCCCTGGACAAACTGGACAGCCAGAGAGGAGAGGGAGCCTCTCTTCCTTGACCGAAGTGGGCACACTGGACAGGGCCCTGGACCAGGGACAAGGCATGTTGGGGCGCAGAGAACGGGTTGTGGGCTGGGGCTGGGACTGTGGAATGGAGGCAGGGGGAGGGGGGGAGGTGTGGAGGTGACAGGGGCAGCTCACCAAAGGGCACGCCCAGGGCGGGGCAGGTTGGTGCTGTGCCAGCCTGGTGGGGTGCAAGGCCAGGGAAGCCTGAAGACCCTCTCGGTGCCCCCAGACAGCCATGGCTCCCAAGCGCAAGCCCCCTGTGCAGGGTGAGGGCCCTGACAAGAAGAAGGGACGGCAGGGGGCCGAGGAGGACAGCTTCCGGGCCGCTGTGGAGGCCCTCAAGGCCGCGCCCACAGAGAAGCGCACAGTTCGAGTGGACGCCACCTGTCCCCTCAGCCACAGCCCCGGGGCCCAGGTAAGGGGCCCCGCCAGGCCCGGAGCCTGCCCTCCCGGGTCAGGCACACTCACTCCTGCTCCCCTCCCACTGCGGCTGCCTCTGCCCACGGAGCATAAGGGCCCCAAGTCAGGCACGTCTCCAAGGCCCCAAGGGTCCGGCAGGGCCACATCTCATCGGGCCCGGGGAGCTCCTGTCTGCTCCCTTTTTAACTTACTTTTCAATGTGTTTTTACTGATTTCAGAGAGGAAGGGAGAGGGAGAGAGAGAAACATCAATGATGAGAGAATCACTGATCTGCTGCCTCCTGCACACCCCCTACTGGGGATTGAGCCTACAACCTGGGCCTGTGCCCTGCCCGGGATTTGAACCCTGACCTCCTGGTTCATAGGCCGACACTCAACCACTGAGCCACGACAGCCGGGCTCCTGTCTACACTTTAGACCGCAGGGCAGGCCCCAGCTCCGTAGGCCTCCCCCTACCGCACTCAAAGCCGGCTCACCTGTGTCCCACCCCCAGCCCAGCCCACGGGGGAGGGTGTGTCCCCCTGAGAGCCTCCCAGGCCAGAGCCTGTGTCCCTCAGTGCCTGCCCCAGAGCACAGCCACATCCTGTCCTCCCAGAGCCTCCCCACTGCCCGAGCGGAGCCATGGCCCCTCAGACCCGGGGGGCAGAACTATGACCCCCTCAAGCCTCCCCAGCCAGGGCCGCCGGTGCAGTCAGAGCCCTATGAGGTGCCCCCACCCCCCGCCCAGGTGCACGCGGACTACGACTGCACCCTGAACCAGACCAACATCGGGAACAACAACAACAAGTTCTACATCATCCAGCTGCTGGAGGACGGCGGGCGCTTCGCCTGCTGGAACCGCTGGGGCCGCGTGGTGAGTGCCCGCCCGCTCCCGCCTCCCCGGGCTCAGCACGGGCCCCGGCTGCCCAGGTCCCGCCGCGTACTCGGGCCCCAAGACCACAGATGCTGACCCTCCCAGGCGCCCAGCACAGGGCCTGGCACCAGGGACCGGCAGGTGCTATGGTGGCAGCGCGGCGGGCACGCCCTGAGGCTGTCGATTGCAGGGCGAGGTGGGCCAGTCCAAGCTCAGCTACTTCCCGTCCCTGGAGGACGCCAAGAAGGACTTCGAGAAGAAGTTTCGGGACAAGACCAAGAACAGCTGGGCGCAGCGGGCGCACTTCGTGGCCCACCCCGGCAAGTACACGCTCATCGAGGTGCAGGGCGCGGACGAGGCCCAGGAGGCTGTGGTGAAGGTGAAGGCGGGGGGAGAGAGCGGGCCCTGGGCTGAGGGAGGGCACGGCACGGGAGACCCAGCCCCCGGCTCTGCCTCTGCCCGCCGGGCGAGCTCAGGCCAGACCTGCCCTCTCGCCTCGGCCTGGCCCTGGCAGGTGCAGTCCATCTGCACCCAGGTGGACGGAGGCCCCGTGAGGATCGTGACTCAGCGCGTGCGGCCCTGCTCCCTGGACGCAGCCACGCAGCAGCTCATCACCAACATCTTCAGCAAGGACATGTTCAGTGACGCCATGGCCCTCATGAACCTGGGTGAGGACCGGGGCCGGCGGGGGCAGGGGCCGGGGTGGCGGCAGGCTGGGGGTGGCAGGGCCTGGGGTGGCAGCGGCTGGGGGTGGCAGGGCCTGGGGTGGCAGTGGGCTGGGGGCAGCAGGGGCCGGGGCGGCAGCGGCTGGGGATGGCAGCTCCTGGGGGTGGCAGGGGGCTGGGGGCGGCAGGGGCCGGGGCGGCAGTGGCTGGGGATGGCAGCTCCTGGGGGTGGCAGGGGGCTGGGGGCGGCAGGGGCCGGGGCGGCAGTGGCTGGGGATGGCAGCTCCTGGGGGTGGCAGGGGGCTGGGGGCGGCAGGGGCCGGGGCGGCAGGGGCCGGGGCGGCAGCGGCTGGGGGTGGCAGGGCCTGGGGTGGCAGTGGGCTGGGGGCGGCAGGGGCCGGGGCGGCAGCGGCTGGGGGTGGCAGGGCCTGGGGTGGCAGGGCCTGGGGTGGCAGCGGGCCGGTGGGGGCAGGGCCTGGGTTGGCAGTGGGCTGGGGGTGGCAGGGGCCGGGGTGGCAGGGGCCGGGGTGGCAGGGCCTGGGGTGGCAGGGCCTGGGGTGGCAGGGGGCTGAGCCTCCCCGCTCTCCCGCGCCCAGACGTGAAGAAGATGCCGCTGGGGAAGCTGAGCAAGCAGCAGATCGCGCGGGGCTTCGAGGCCCTGGAGGCCCTGGAGGCGGCCCTGAGAGGCCCCGTGGCCGGGGGCCGCAGCCTGGAGGACCTGTCCTCCCACTTCTACACGGTCATCCCCCACAACTTCGGCCGCAGCCGGCCCCCGCCCATCGCCACCCTGGAGCAGCTGCGGGCCAAGAAGGACATGCTGCTGGTGAGGCAGGGCGGGGGAGACAAACGGGAGGGGGCCGGTGCCAGCAGGCAGACATGGACGGGATGGGCAGGCCAGAGGACAGAGGGCTGGGGGGTGAGCAGGCGGACAGACGGGCGGGTGGCCACGGTCCCGGGCCTGTGGGAGGAGAGGCGAGAGGTCGCGTGATGAGCCGGTGGTGCCGTCCCCGCAGGTGCTGGCCGACATCGAGCTGGCCCAGACCCTGCAGGCGGCCCCTGAGGAGGATGTGGAGGCGGTGCCAGAGGTGCCCCACCCCCTGGACCGAGACTACCAGCTCCTCAGGTGCCAGCTCCAGCTGCTGGACCCAGAGGCGCCCGAGTACAAGGTGGGCTGGGCCTCCCGGAGCAGCCGGGCTAACTGCCACCCTAACCCTAACCTCTGCCCTCTGCCCTCTGCCCTCTGCCCACGGCCCGTGCCCTTGGCCTTCCTCCCCGTGCCTCTGGCCCTTGGCACCCGCGCCCACTCTCCCCGCAGGTGATCCACACCTACTTGAAGCAGACCGGCGGCAGCTACCGGACCCCGGAGCTGCAGCACGTTTGGAAAGTGAACCGAGACGGGGAGGTGAGGGGAGCCCGGACCGGGAGACGGAGTCCCGGCTTAGGTGTCCCTTACTGCGTCGTCCTAGCCTCTGGGGCCGTTTCCGCCGGCCTGGGCTGGTGGGCGTGGGCATGAGGCTGTGAGCGCCCAGGGGACCCAGGCCGCAGTTAGACCCCGAGCTGGTGGGCACGGCTCTCCTGTCCCCCCCCCCCCGCAGGGAGACCGGTTCCAGGCGCACTCCACGCTGGACAACCGCAGGCTGCTGTGGCACGGCACCAACGTGGCCGTGGTGGCCGCCATCCTCACCAGCGGGCTGCGCATCATGCCGCACTCCGGCGGCCGCGTGGGCAAGGGCATCTACTTCGCCTCGGAGAACAGCAAGTCGGCCGGCTACGGTGAGCGCCTACGGCCCAGCCCTGGGCGGCACGGGGACCGAGAGGGTGGCCCCGATCGGGGCGGACCCGGGAGAGGGACCCCTGACCTGAGACTGGCCAGAGCACTCAGCGGGCCTCCTGGGGTCCAGGGGCACCTGGGGACGCTTCCCAGAGAAGGCCCGGCAGGAGGGTGAGCGTGCCAACCAGGCCCGGGCCAGGCGGCCAGGGCGGCGCAGAGGCTGGGCCCTGGGGGTGGGGCCGGCCCAGTGTGGCCAGATGGCGATGGCGAAGCTCAGAGCAAAGGTCTGTGTGGGCGGGGCCTGGGGGCCCGGAGGATCATGGGGCTTATCCGAGGCCTGGGAGCCCCTTGGACTCGGATGTGGCCGGACCTCAGTGCTGTGGCCATGGGGAGGTGGCGGAGGCCAGAGGCTGCAGGGGGCGGTGCCCTCACCGGGCACCCGGCCAGGGCGGTGGAGCGGGGAGGAGGATCCGTGAGGGGCTGGCAGGAGGGGTAGCAGCTGTGGGGAGGGGCCCCAGGGGTCTCCAGTGACCCTCAGTTTCTATCCAGAGGTGTCTTCACTCGGGGGGGACCTCACCACACTGGCTCCTCAGCCAGGCTGGCCCCATCACTGAGACCACCACCCCCTGAGACAGCCAGGCCCAAGGCGGATGGGGCTGCAGGTCTAGGGTGTCTGCGGGGCCAAGGCCAGGGCCATGGGTGGAGCAGGAGGCAGAGGAGCCTGAGGAAGGGTCGGGGCGGCTGCAGGAGCCGGTGCCGGCGGTCCAGGCCAGGGTGAGGGTGCTAGTGCAGAGCAGAGCGGCCAGGGAGGGAAACTCCGTCCACGCCTGTCCCTGGGCCCGCTGAGTGCCCATGGCCAGCCGTGGTGAGGACAGAAGTGGGGGGCTGGGAGGGACGCGGCCAGGACAAGGGGTGTTTTAAGGAGGAGGAGCAGGCAGCCTTTTGCGCTGGGCCCAGCGAGAGGAAGTGCCCATGCAGCAACGAGGGGCCCGGGGAGTGGGGGGGGCCCACAAGCTGCCCAGCTGAGCGCCGTGTCCCCCAGTTACTACCATGTCCTGTGGGGCCCACCGCATCGCCTACATGTTCCTGGGTGAAGTGGCCCTGGGCAGGGAGCACCACATCATGGCCGACGACCCCAGCCTGAAGCAGCCGCCCCCCGGCTTCGACAGCGTCATTGCCCGAGGCCGCACGGAGCCCGGTGAGTCCCCGGCCTCAGAGGCTGCGCAGGCCTGGGAGGGAGGGGGCGCTGAGCCCAGGGCCCAGGGTGCTCTCAGGGGGAGGCAGCAGCAGAGGAGGGGCTGGGAGAAGCAGGCTTCCTCCCTGTGGCCATTCCCTTTGTCATCCCACAAATTGTCCCTGGGTATCCAGGAGGGCTTCAAGGAGGAGGTGTCATTGACTGAGCATCAAAAGATGAGCAGGTGGCCCTAGCCAGTGGATAGAGCATCGGCTGCAGACTGAAGGGTCCCAGGTTCAATTCCGGTCAAGGGCACAGGCCCAGGTTGCGGGCTCGATCCCCAGTAGGGGGCATGCAGGAGGTAGCCGATCAGTAATTCTCAATCATCACTGGTGTTTCTATCTCTCTCTCTCTCCCTCTCCCTTCCTCTCTGAAATCAATAAAAACATTAAATTTTTAAAAATATATTTTATTGATTTTGTACAGAGAGGAAGGGAGAGAGATACAGAGTTAAAAACATCGATGCGAGAGAGCCATCGATCAACTGCCTCTTGCACACCTCCTACTGGGGATATGCCCGCAACCAAGGTACATGCCCTTGATCGGAATCGAACCCAGGACCCTTCAGTCCCCAAGCCGATGCTCTATCCATTGAGCCAAACCGGTCCCGGCAACACTAAAAATTTTTTAAAAGATGAGTAGGTGTCTCCCAGACAAAGAAATGGAGGGGACAGTCAGGCGGAGGCCCGGCCTGAACAGTGGTCTGGAGGTTGGCAGGGCGGGAAGTGTGGGCATTCCCCGTGGCGAAGGGGAGCGCATAGGGCGGAACGTGCCCTTGAGGCCAAGGACCAGGACCCTGGGTCACCCGGCCCTTGCTGTGTCCGCAGACCCCGCCCAGGACACGGAGCTGGAGCTGGACGGCCGGCGGGTGGCAGTGCCCCAGGGCCCGCCCACGCCCTGCCCCAAGTTCAGCTGCTCCTCCTTCTCCCAGAGCGAGTACCTCATCTACCAGGAGAGCCAGTGCCGCCTGCGGTACCTGCTGGAGGTGTGCCTCTGAGCGCCCCTCACCCGGCCCTGCCGGGACAGACTGCCGTCTGTCTGTCTTCTCGCACACGTCACCGCTTCTCGCTCCCAAACCTCCCTTCTGTGTCCCGGATGGTGTCCCCGCTCCCCCGTCCCCACTAGCCCCGGCCTGGCTGCAGCTGCCGAGGTGACGGGTGCGAGGGACTGTGCCGCAGCCTCTTCGGGACTGAGGAGTGAGGGGGCACAGGCTGAGGAGGGTTCAGACCCCGTCGCCGCCCGGGCCGTCCACTCAGGCCCCGCCTGTCCCTCCCAGAGGTGTGGCCGCCAGTGGAGGCTGGACTGCAGGCAGCAGGTTCGTTACACACTGGGTCCACTCACCCCGGGCTCCGCACACGCCCGGGCCCCTTCCTCTCCAGTGACCCCCACAGCCCAGCCCCATCCTGGTCCATCCGTGGCCGTCACTGCAGCCCCCACCGCCCCTGACCACCGCGCTTTCAGACCCTCCCCATCCGCTCCGCACGTGGCCAGGCACACCGAGCTCCGCTCCCGTCTCCTCATCGACGTGTCCCAGATCTGCACGTTCCACACCAGCTGAGCACACGCCAAGCGCCCGGCTCTGCCACGCGAACGATGCCCGTTAGCACCCGGAGGGTCACCTTACCCAGACCAGAGGGTGCGGCGCTGTCTCTGCTCCTCCAGCTGCAGTCCCACCCCACAGGGTCCCCCCGTTCTCCCCGCCCAGGCTCACACTCGCTTCTCTAGCAGCGAGCAGCTCCGCTCCCTCAACATCAGCCTGCTGACTTGTTGGCTCCATCCCACACGGAAAGCAGCTTCCGAGTCGCCGTGCCACACGCTCCCTGAGCAGGGCCATGCCGTGTGAGCACACGCTTTCCGAGCAGGGCTCACGCACGCTCACGCTCCTCACCCTCCTCCCCTGGACTGGATGAGCAGGGAGCGGGAACAGGTGTTTCGGATGTCGCCTGGGTTAGTTAGTTGACGTTTCCTCTCGGTGTGGTTACCGGTGGGTGAAGCACAGGTGTTTCTGCTTATCTGCACCTTTAGGCGGGCTCCTCCTCATCCTCACTGACTTACTGCTCTCAGTACCCAGCACGTTAGCGTAGTCCCAACGACACAGCTCCCGGAAGTCTAACCTGGACAGTAACAGGTGCTCAGGAATCACCCGGGGCCCTGCCCTGGCCCTGCTCACCGCCTGCCTGCTGGGGGGAGCCAGGTTCTGGCTGGGCCTTCATGTGATCGTTTGGGCAAATAAAGAAGAGCAACAGTCCTATTTGTAATGCTTCAAACAATAAAAATAAAAAATAAAATAAAAAATAAAAAGCCACAGTCACACAACAGTTGCAAGTGTGGTTGAATGACTTTGGAGGAGCAGGCACGCTCCCCCCCAGGGTCCCCATCCCTCCTAGTGCCGTCGCCAGAGCGTTTTCTCTGCGCTGTTCCTGCCAGGCCTGCCGAGCCCTGCCCGGGCCCCAGTGCTCAGCGCTGCCCAGGCCTGCAGCCTCACCGGGCTGGGAGACCAATGCCGCCGCCTCCCTCTGAGCTCCGGAAGCAGATAACCTGGCTCCCAGGTGCAACTCAGCTGGGTGATCGGGGACACACTCCTTCCCTGACCGGGCAGCAGCTTACTCGTCTGAGTAATGGAGAACTGGGCCGGGCCCTTTAAGTCCCAGAGAGAGGGAGTCACACCTGGGGGTCCATGCCCTGGTCCCCACCACCAATGCTGCACCGATGCTGACTGTGAGCCCGTGATGGGCCCCACGGTGCACACGTGAGCAAGACACAGACAAGGTCCCTGCTCTCACGGGACTAACATTCCAGTAAAACAGGCTCCAAACAAACCTATGGGTAGATGAGAAACTCAGGATCAGATAGGCCAAGTGCCAGGAAGGACAGCAAAGCAGGACAAAAGGCAGGGGATGGGAAGGGGGAGCGATCTCGGGAGGGATGGACAGTTGCTGAGGCCCCTCTGGAGCAGAGGCCTGGGCTGGGGAGAGGCGGTCTGCTGGAGGCAGCAGGTGCCCAGGTTCTGAGGAGGAACCCAGTCTGTCACGTGAGAGGACCCCCAAGATGGCTGCTAGGGCCGGGAGTGGGGTAGGCAAGGAGGGGTGAGGTCAGAGAGAGGGGGTGTCATCCTGATGACGGGAAGCTCCCGGAGCACTGGGAGCAGGGCCACGGCCGATGGGACTTGGAGGACCTGCTTCTGCCTCCGTACAGAGTGGCCTGCAGCGCGGGCGTCAGTGAAGACCCAGTCGGCAAAGCAGAAGCCAGGCGAGAGCCACGAGATCCGGGGAAGGAGCAGAATCCACAGGGACCGTGAGGCCCCCAAAGATGCGCCACCGTGGAAGCTGCCACGGCTCTCAGTCTGGATCGATCGTGGGAGGAGATGGTCCAGGGACCCAGGCCAGGGACCCAGGGACCCAGGCCACCCGCAGGCACCAGAACCACGCAGGGGGCTGCCCCCAGAGAGCTGGGGAGCCCCCGCAGAGCCTGAGAGAGAAAGACACCGCTCCTCCCGCCTCCCACCCTCCCCGCCTTGCTCTGGCCTCCAGCTCCTGCCTGCTCGACGGCCTCCAGCTTGCAGCCTGCAGCTGGCAGCTGTGAGGCCCAGGGGGCTGGTGCCAGGCCCTGCCCCTCCCTCGCCAATGCCGCGTCTGTGAAGGGCAGCAGCAGAGTGACAGCCAGTACCATCTCCAGCAGGGGCTGAGCTGCTGTGGCAGGGGAGAGAGCCGCAGTCCCAGCCTTGCAGCCCTCCATGGGGCTGGCCAAACCCCCAGGAGGATGGGGGCCTAGGCAGCAGAGCCAGAGCCTGGGCAGCCTATGAGGTGAGGGGCCAGCGGAGCAGGAGGCGGGGGATGGGGATGGGGGGAGGGATGGGATGAACCGGGGGAGGGAGGGGGGCCCTCCCATTCCGCTCTCTGCATCCCCAACCCAGGGCGAAGCCGGAGCGCTGGATGGCCAACACCACCGGGCCCCTCCAGGCCACGGAAGTCGCGGGCTCCATGGGGCTGATCCTGGCGGCCATCGTGGAGGCAGCAGCCCTGCTGGGCAACGGCGCGCTGCTGGCGGTGGTGCTGCGCACGCCCGGCCTGCAGGAGGCGCTCTACCTGATGCACCTGTGCATCGTGGACCTGCTGGCGGCCGCCTCCATCATGCCGCTGGGCCTGCTGGCCGCGCCGCCGCCCGGCCTGGGCCGCGTGCGCCTGGACCCCGCGTCCTGCCGCGCCGCGCGCTTCCTGTCGGCCGCGCTGCTGCCCGCCGGCACGCTGGGGGTGGCGGCGCTGGGGCTGGCGCGCTGCCGCTTCATCGTGCACCCGCTGCGGCCCGGCGCGCGCCCGCCGCCCGGCCTGGTGCTCGCGGCCGTGTGGGCCGCCGCCGCGCTGCTGGGCGCGCTCTCCCTGCTCGGGCCGCCGCCCGGGCCGCCGCCCGCCCCGGCCCGCTGCTCCGTGCTGGCCGGCGGCCTCGCGCCCTTCCGGCCGCTCTGGGCGCTGCTGGCCGTCGCGGTGCCCGCGCTGCTGCTGCTCGGCGCCCACGGCAGCATCTTCCTGGTGGCGCGCCGCGCCGCCCTGCGGCCCCCGCCGCCCGCGCGCGGGGCCCGGCCGCGCTCCGCCTCGCTGGACAGCCGCCTGTCCGTGCCGCCCGCGCTGCGGCCCCGCCTGCCCGGCCGCAAGGCCGCCCTGGGGCCCGCGCTGGCGCTCGCCCAGTTCGCGGCCTGCTGGCTGCCCTACGGCTGCGCGTGCCTGGCGCCCGCCGCGCAGGCCGCCCGGGCCGAGGGCGCCGTCACCTGGGTCGCCTACTCGGCCTTCGCGGCGCACCCCTTCCTGTACGGCCTGCTGCAGCGCCCCCTGCGCCGCGCGCTGGGCCGCCTGGTGCGCCGGGCCCGGCCCCGGCGGGTCTGCACCCCGCGCGCCTGGCGCCCGCGGGCGCTCCTGCAGCGCCTCCGGGGACCCCCCGAGGGCCCCGCCCTGGGACCTTCCGAGGCACCAGATCCAGAACCAGATGGAGAACCGGACGTGGCCGGAGGGGGGACCCTCCCCGTGCCCAAGGCCACCTGAGAGGGGGCCCGACTCCTGCACGGAACTGGGGCGGAGAGGGCGGTGGTACCAGAGGCATCCAGCCTCCCGCACTGGCGCGGTTCCTCTGCTTCTGTGTCCGGGAAGGGGGCCTGCAACCTGGGTGCCCAGAGGCTCCTGGGACCGAGGAACCTGGGTTCCGGCTTAACTCCGCGTGGCCCTGTGCACAGTCTCCACTGCTCCCTTCTGCACCCGGACCCTCTCCGAGGGCTTCTCCGCTTCGGCGGCTGCTCCTCAGGCAGAGGAGGAGTGAGGTGGGCAGGGTCCGAGGGACTGACAGCCCAAGGGATGGGCCACAAGAGGAACCAGAGACTCTGAGACCTCCTGACAGCCGCCCTGAGGCCAGACAAGCCCCCGGAGCTCCTCTCTCTGCCTCTAAAACACCGGGTCCGCCTGGAACTCAAGGCGGGAGGCTGGACACGCCCCCCCCCCCCCCCCTCGCGGGCCCAGAACGAGGGCTGGTGGATCACAGATGGGGTCCTCTGGGGCTAGCCACACCCACTTTCTGGAAGTTTTGCCAACACCCAGTGTTTCACAGCTTCCTGGTTTCAGAATATTTATTCAAAAACGGGTTGAAAAAACTGTACAGAGTGTCTGCTGCTGAGAACTCAGCCCCGCCCCGTGGGACCCCTGAGCGGCCTGGCCGAGTCCGCTCTTTGGGTTGCCCTCGGCCAAGCCCAGCCAGTCCATTCCAGTCAAAAGGGTTATCCGTGGAAGCAGCAGGAATCTGCGGGGAGGTGGGGAGAGAAGCGTGGCCCCCAGCCCCCCTGCCCAGCCCTCCTCCCTGAGCCCCAGAAGGGGGCAGTAGGCTGGGAAGCCCTAAGGAATGGGGAGTGCATGAGTGACCCCCAAAGTGGGAGCACAAAGGGTGCTCCCTGCACCCAAGCACAGAGCTGCAGGGGCTGGAGCCCCTAGCTGGGACCGCGCAGCCCCCGGAACCCTGGGCCAGAAACTGCACCCACTCTGAGCACGGGGGCTCCCCCAGGCAGGGTGCATCCATGCTGCTGAGCATTAGTGGTGATGGGGACCCCGAGCCGGGGTCCCCGCGGGCAGGCGGGTCCTGCCTGCTCCCGCACCTGGGCCCCAGCCGCTCAGTAGGGCGAGAACTTCTGCCGCTCGGCCTTCTTGCTCCCGTTGGCCGCTGCCATCTTGGCAGTGTAGGCCGCCAGGCCAGGCGGCGGCCCCGGGGAGGCGGGCGGCAGAGCCAGGAAGGGCACAGGCTTGAGGCCGATGAAGTTGGACAGGGAGATGGCGTAGGGCGTGCCCAGCAGGCCCGGGGGAGCCGTGGGCAGGGCCGTCAGGGGCGGCGAGAAGGGGGTAGACAGGTCTGCGGGGGCCGCACTGGGCGTCCCCCCAGAGGTAGACTTGGCCGTTTCTAGACTGGAGAGAGGGAGATGGGGGAGATGACGGAGACGGTGGGGTGAGAGGGGACCGGGAAGGGAAGGTCGGGGGGAGGAAATGAGGAGACATTGTACGGTGGGAAAGCAGTGGGGACCAGGGATGGATGGAGAGGGGAAGATGAGGCAACACGGAGGGAGTGAGGGAGAGGAGGGACCCGGACAGGGAGCTCATCTCTCCCCTCCCAACCTGTGCCTTTCTCAGGCAGGGAGCCCCCCGACCTGTGACCTATGACCCCCCATACCAGCCCACACTCACCAGGCAGTGATGAGGTACTGAGCCAGAGCGATGGAGACGGGGGACCCGGTGATGGTCACGTGCCGCTCCCCGGCGCCCTCCGCCTGGTTCCCGATCTTGATGTGCGCCCCCGACATCTGCCGGATCTCGCTGATCTTGCTGCCCTGGCGCCCGATCACGCAGCCAATGAGCTGCGGGGAGGCGGGAGGTCAGCCCTGCCCGAGGCCCCGGCCCGCCCGCCCCCCCGCACCCACCCCGCCGGCCCGGGGCCCTGCTCACGTCGTTGGGAACCAAGAACTCCTGGGAGCTGGTCTGCGCGCCAGGATCCAGTCCTAGGGAGAAGAGGGGTGTGCATGGCTCCAGGCCTTTCCTGCCCCCCACGTCCACCGCAGGGGCTGCTGGCCCCGGGGGACCTGCCCCGCCTGCGGCTGAGGCTGCTCACCTGGCACCATGCTCGGGGAGGCAAGGGGGACCGCGTGGCCCGAGAGCTGCTGGAGCTTGGTGACCTGCGCCGGAGGAGAGGGGCAGAGGTCAGAGGGGCAGAGGTCAGAGGGGCAGAGGTCAGAGGAGGCTTGCTTCGGGAAGGGGTGCCTCAGGCTGGGGTCACTCACCTCAGCTGGGGTCACAGCCCCGTACTGACTCTGGACGGAGAAGCCCTGTGGGGACGGAGAAGGCCCGGGTGAAGGGGTTACTGGGACAGGTCAGGGCCGTCCCTCCTCCCTGGCCCCCCAATTCCTCCTTCCACCCCCCCTTTTCCAACAAGCCCCCCTCACCTGGTTGGCAGAGAGAAGGACGGTGCCTAAGGAGAGGCTGGGGTGGTACGGGATGGTGGCCCCTTTGGGTGGGGACTGGAAGGACAGACGGGGGAGCTGTCAGGACCCGCCAGGCCGCCCTGACCTCACAGGGGCCCTCTGTGCCAAGGCCCTCACCACGACCCCAGGAACACGCATCGGCCGTCCTGGGGGGTCCTGGCCCGTGGCCGTGGCCTCGCCTCCCCCCCTCCCCCTGCGCGCCCTCTCCTGCCCCGGGCAGCACCTCCAGGATGACGGCGCAGATCTGGCGCACACACAGGATGATGGCGTCGGGCACCCCGGACACGGTGACTGCACGCTCCGTGGAGTTGGGGAGCAGGTCCCCAGCCACCTGCACCTGGGCCCCCGTGGTCTGCAGACAGAGAGGGGGCCACTGTCAGCTCCTGGCCACGGGAGGGTGCCCTTCAGAGCTGCCCGAGGGGGGGAAGGAGGGAGGGACTTCGGGGTGGTCTCTCCCCCGAACCCCACCTCTCGGATCTCCTTGATCTTGGTGCCGGCCTTCCCGATCAGGGAGCCACACTGGCTGGCGGGGATGACAAGGCGAAGGGTCACTGGAGGCCTGGAGACGGTCCCCCCGTTGGCGGGGGCAGAGCAGAGGTCCTGGGCGAGAAGACGGAGGGTGGGCCCTGCAGGCCCCTGCTCCCCCCTGCAGACCCCTGCCCGCCCCCCTCCCTCTGCAGGTCCCTGCTGCTCCCCCCTGCAGGGCAGCCTGCCCCAGTTCCTCTCAAATGGGGGAACCCTGCGGGTCTCAGCCTCCCCTTCCAGCCCAGCAGGTCCCAGTCCTCCCAGGAGCCAGCGGGGCCGCCACCAGCCGGTCCCACACCTCGTCCAGCTTGAAGGCGATCATGGAGACGGCGTGGAAGACGGCCGCCGTGGAGCCGGTGATGGTGGTGATGCGCTCGGGGCAGGAGCCCTCGGAGATGGTGATCCGGGCGCTGCTCTGTGGGCACAGGACGGGCGCCGGGCAGTGGCCTCCTCCTCCCCGCCCCGGGCAGCCTAGCCGCCCGCCTCACTCCCAGGCCCCGCAAAGCCGGGAACCCCGCCGAGGGCCGGACCTCGGCCCCTTCCCCTCCGAACCGGGGCCCGGCCCCTCCCCGCACTCCGCCCTCACCTGCTCCCGGATCCGCTTCACCGTCTCCCCTTTCTGCGGGAAAAGATGGAGGCGGCTCTTAGCCTGACCGCTGCCTCCCCTCCCGCACGGAGGCCTCGGGGCAGGCGGAGGGGACACCGCAGAGCCCAGCACCTACCTTCCCGATGATGCTGCCCACCTCCTGCCAACAGACCAGAGAGGAGTCAGGGGTGCCAGTGCCAGCCCTGTGCCCCCTCCTTCCGACCTGCCCCCCCCCCCACACACACACACGGAAGAAAGGACACCTGAGATCCAAATCAGCCAGACAGGCCCTACCTAGCCCTGCCCCACCCCACCCCCCACCCCTGCCAAGTGGCAGCAGAGACCCCTCACCTTCCCGTGCATCAGCATCCGCAGCGTGAGGGTGATGCTGAGCTCAGGCTCCTCCTCCAGCCCCGCGTCCGAGCTGCTCATCCTGTCAGGCGGGGCCGGGCCCACCGCGGCCTGGGCCTGGGGCTGCGTCCACGCTGCGGCCTGGCCGGTTCTGGCGGGGACGGCAGGGGGGGGGGGGACAGGGCTCAGCTCTCCGGGTCTCCTGCCCTGGTACGGGGACCCCAGAGCGGGCTCGCCAAACTCCCAGAGAAGAGAGATGACGTGACGGGGACCCTGCGTTTCAAATGTCCCACGGACCGGGGTGCTCATGGGCAACCCCGGGCAGCTTGCTCCCCCTCTGAGCCTCAGAGCGCCCCCCTGGGAGAAGGGGAAGCCAAGACCCACCCCCAGAGGTATGAGAATTAAAATGAGCGAAGCAGTCTCCATGAGCAGCCTGCACCCCCCCCCCTGCGGACAGGAACTGGGGGCCTCTAGGGTGCTGAGAAGGGAGCCCCCTCCCTGCCTCCGGGAAGAGGGGACCCTGCGGATTGCCGGGGGCAGCCATGGGAGGCCTCGGAAGGAGAGTGGACACGAAGATAGCAAGGCTCTGAGGGCCCTCTCCCCGGCCTTCCCCTGCTGGCAAAGGCGTGGGGGAGGGGATGGAGCCCCCAGGGGCTCTCCTATGCGCTAGCTCACTGGGGAGCGGGTAGGGGAGTGTCAGGGTAGGCAGTGGTCTCCCAAGCCCCTCCCTTGTGCTGAGGAGGGGAGTGTGCGGGCTGGCCACCTTCCCAGCCTGGAGCGCGTTCACTGTCCCAGACACTAGTCCCTAGTCCAGCCTCCATCTCCTCACCGGGCTGGGTGGGGGGTAGGAGAGAGGCTTGGGGGGCTGGGGAATGTCAAGTTTGGGAACTGACGGAGAAGGGGAGCTGGGATTAGCCGCCGGGATTAGCCTGTCGCCAGCCCTCCCCACTGGACCCCTCGGCAAACCCCGGCTTAATCCCGAGCCTTAATCCCACCGGGAAATCCCTCTCCTCCAGCGCTGTCTCAGCCAGAGCTCAGCCTCGACGGGCGCTCAGGGGCGACCAGCCCCGAGGACCACAGGGCCCGGGACGAACTGGTGCCACGTCTGAGCCCAGACAGAGCCCTAACCCTGCAAACCCTCCTGCCCAGGGGGGCTGGGGCAGAGGGCCCAGCCTGGAGCGCTGCAGACACCTCGGGGCATGGAGTGGGAAGGGGGCTCCCTGGCTCTCTCCAGAAGCCTTAACAAGCCACTGGTGGCCTCAGGCCCGTCTCACCTGTACAATGGGGGTGACCCCGCCCCCCAGCACCCTGTCATTATGGCCTCCCCACGACCGGCTCCTCCCTCCATTCCAACGTCGCCCAGATTCCCCAGAGGTTAGAGGTCAACTGTGGATGCAGGGACAGTGTCCCGTGGACATCCTGGCCAGCCTCGCGCTGGCTGCCCTTGCTGACATTCTCCCAGCTGCCTGCACTTCTCCCGGCAAAGCGCTTGGGGCGACGCTGGTCTCTGCCTCCGGGACAGCCAAGCCCGGGAGGCCCTCAGAGCAGGCGCCACGGCCCCCGCCTTCCCGTGGCCCCCGAGCTCGGGCCAGGGCCAGGCCGAGGGCCGGGGGAGGGGCTCAGAACACGCTGGTGCTGGAGAGATGAATCCCGGGAGCAGACAGGGAGCCTGATGCAAGGTCACAGAGCGGGCAGGGCGGGACAGGCCCAGGGGACCGGGTGGGTCCCGCCTGCCGGTGGGGCTGTCGGGGCCCTGGCTGAGGGTGAGTCCTGTCCGGGAGGGAGCTCTTCCGGGGCGGGGAGTGGTCTCGGAGGCCCCCACCTGGCTCGCAGACGAGGGTCGTGTTTGGGAAGGACTGACAACTGTCTGGAGCCATGGTCTCAGGCTTCAGAACTTCCTGAGGCTCAGGAACTCCTGTGGGGTGGTAACCATGGAGACCTGACAGGTCCTCAGACCATCCGGGCAGAACTAGAACCCAGGGCCGGTCCACAGGACAGACAGCAGGTGGGGTGAGGCCTCCAGTCTGGGGTCTCAGGCCCAGGAAGCTCCTCCCTGGCGTTGGGGGCCTCGGACTCAGAAACACAGGGGTCCGAGGGCTGCCATGGAGCTCCTGCCCCTAAATGACAAGGTCTGCATGGAGCCCCATCCCCCCAAATACAGGGGGTGACCTTGGCCAGGGCTGCACCTGGCCTGGCCCTGCTTACCCACCTGGCTGTGTGTGTGTGTGAGATCTGGTCTCTGTGTCCTTCTTGTTACGAGGGACCCCCAAGGTCTGTCCTGTCTCAGGAGAGAACAAGGGGTCCCGACACAGGCCACCCACCTTACTCTCCCAGGAGCCCCAAGAGCAACCGGCCCCCCCAGGCACCCGGCTCCCCTCTGACTCCTGGGCTCTCGGGAGGCACTGCTGCTCCAGCCTGGCAGCCTGGGTCCCTGCTGGGCACCCACATGGCAGCCACACCTCATGCCACACTGACCTCCAGCTCACCTCTGGGGGCGCCAGCCCCTCCCGTCAGCAGCCTCCCTGGCAGAGCCCGGCCGCCTAGGCCAGCGCTGACCTCCGGTTCCCTCCTGCTTCCCGGCCCCCTCCCCAGTCCCAGCGCCCACTCCTGTCCCTGGCCTCCTGCCACTCAGTCTGGAGGGGACGAGGGGGGAGGTGACAGCTGCGTAAGCGATGGTGGCTGCCCCTTCCTGCCCCTCCCCCCCAGCTGTCTCTCTCTCATGACAGCTGTCCAATCAAAGGGCTGGGGGCTTAGCCAGCTCCCCCCTCAGGCAGGGATCAAGTGTCTACCCTGGCTTTGTTCTGGAGCAAGAACAATCCCGGGAGGGGAGGGCTCCTGGCTGGGCACCGCCTCGGGCAAGCCCACCCCCCCGGGGGATTCCCTGGGCCCTGCTGGCCGGAGCATCTGGTCCGACTGGGGCTGGTAGGCCCACCTGGGCCGGGAGGGAGGGTCCAGTCTCCAAGTGCACCCCCACCTCACCTCCCCGACATCCCCGCAGCACCTTCAGCGCCTAACCTAGCAACCTCCTCCACTGCTCCCGAGCAGCCGGCGCGGCGGCCACGCCCAGCGGTGCCGGGGAATGCGTGGGATCAGGCGGACCAGGGCGCGGCCGGGGCTGGACGCTGGACCTGGGGCACACAGGGATTCTGACTCCCCTGCCCTTGGCCTTCTCGCGCTCACCATTCCTGGCCAGCCTGCCAGGCCTCCACAGAACCGCCCCAGCATCTGTGTGCCCGGCTGGCTGCTCAGCCTCGCAGGGTGGCCATTCTCTCCCACTTCTCCGGAGGGCCGGGGAGGGGCCTGGCCCTACAGGGTTGTCTGGGAAGCTCAGGCAACCTGGCTGGGCCAGGCAGGGGACAGCCTCCGCAGAGCATCCTTAAGCACCCCTGCGCCCTTCCCCAGGAGTCCGCACGGCCAGGGGAAAATGAGGCAGGCCCAGGTCCGGACTGGGCTCCAGCAGAAGGACCGTTTCCTGGGACAGCCTCACCCACGGGCCCCCATCCCCTCATGGTCTCACCCAAACTGAGGAAGACCTCTGGCTTCCATTCTCCATCCTGGGGCCTGGGTCATGCTGATGCTCCATAACCAGTCTTGGCTCCCCAGTGCCCGAGGCTGAGCTCCATGGACAGGCACTCAAGGGCCTTCTCCATCGGGCCCCTGCCCACCTCTCTGGTCTCATCTCCATCCCACCCCCCCACCCCCCACTGGGCTGCAAACACACCCAGCACCTCGCCTCAGCCTCTGCCTGGAATGATCCCGTCCTCCCCGCTCTGTCCAAAGCCACCTCGCCGCGAAGCTTTCCCACCACGTCAGACAAAACCCCCCAGGTCTCTGGGCCCCACAGAGGGCCCCCCAATCGGGCATTCCTGAACCCCTCTCCGTCTCTCCAGAGAGCAGGAGCCAGGGCCGGGCTGGGTGCAGGGAAAGACGAGGCTCCCAGGGCCTGGCATCAGGGACCAGAGATGGGGGTCGGGTCCCCGAGGAGCAGTGAGGATGGGGAGAGACGACATGGGGACCAGTCACGGGACAGCCAGGGTCTAGCTGACAGGATGCCCAGGCCTCCTTCCTCAGCACCCCAGATCCTGTCCGCTGTTTCTCTGGGTCTGGGGGCTCCCGGGGCCTGTCACTGGGCTTGGGGGTTCGCCTGGGCTTTGGGACTTCTGGGGACCCACGGTGGGTTTCGCCGGGGCGGTGGGGGCCGGAAGGACAGCTGGGTGTGGCGGAGGGCTCCCCAGGCCAGGCCCTCACCGAGGAGCGGAGGCCGGGAGGAAGGGGCCGGTGTGTGAGGCTGCGGGGGAGCTCGGGTCTCTCCCCCACGAAGTGTGCGTGCCATGCCACGGGGACGGAGGCTGGAGCGGGCAGTGATGGAGTGGGGAGGGTGGACAGAGCCTGTCGGGACACAGGGTGGGGCAGAGCGAGCCTCCCCGTGGCCTAGGCCTGCCAGGGTGTGTGGGCCGCAGGCTCCCAGCCCCCCGCCCGGAGCATGCGAGCAGAACAATCCCCTTGTGTCCGGGCGGCCGGGCCTGCATGCTGATGAAGGCTGGGGGTGGGGGCTGGGTGGGGGTGCCTGGGAGACCGAGAGGGCTCCAGGGCCTTCAGAGGGGAGAAGTATGGGGTCCCGGGTGCCGGCTCTGAGACAAAGAGGGTCCCCCCAGAGACAGGGCGGGCTGGGGTTGAGGTTTAGCTGCCAGGAGTCCTGGGCTTGGAGGAGCTCTTTGTGGGGAAGCAGGGCCCCTGGGGACACATGCCCTGTTGGTCCAGCGTGAAGGTGAGCATCCCGGGCTGGGTGGGGACCCGCCGCCCACATCCTGGGAGCTGGGCAGGCCACTGGCCCTGGATGCATCCCCGGGGTGCAGCCGGGTGGGGCACTGGGTGCCACAGGTCCCAAGATGGCGGGCCCGGGACAGGGGAGCGCGGAGGCGGTCACCTCCCTCCTCTGACCAGGCAGGCACCAGGGCCCCCCACCCCCACCCCCAAGGACCCCAGCCAAGAAGCCAGGTCCGGGCTGAGGGGCTGAAGAGCCACAGGCACCTGGGACCCCAGGAGCCCCCACTGTCACCTCCACACCCTCCTCGTGTGGCCCGGGAAGACTCGGGATGGGAAGGGGTGTGCACGGGGCCCGCAGGGGGACGGCAGGTGGGGACCAGGATGGGCAGAACCAGACCCAGGGCCGGCCCAAAGGACAGACACAGCAGGTGGGGTGAGGGTGCAGGAGGCTCCTCCTGGTGCTGGGGGCCCCTCCGGCGGACCAGCGCCCCCCATCCGTGCAGGCCTGGGCCCGCGAGCGGCAGGGATCCCGTTCCTTGCAGGCTCCCAGGCCCCCAAACCCAGACCCGGGAGCCGGGCTCCCCGCCCCGGCCGAGCCCCACACCGGCGCCCGCCCCGCCGGCCGGCCCTACCTCGCTGGGCTGTCCTGCGGCGGCGGCGCGGCGGCGGGGCCGCTCAGTCCCACATTGTCCCCGGCAGCGGCGGCCGCGCACAACTGCGAGTGACATCAGCTGCGAACAATGAGGGGTTTGACAGGCGCCGAGCCCGGCCGGAGCCCGGCTCCGCGCCCCCCCCCCCCCCGCCGGCCCCTCCCGCCCCCGGCCCGGATCCGATTACAGCGCCGCGCCAGCGCCGCCGCCCCGCCCCGCCCCGCCGCTTCCGGGGAGCCCTCCCCCCGCCCGGCCCGGAGCGGGACCCTCCCCCCGGAGCGGGGACCCTCCCCCCGGAGCCCCGAGGACCCTCCCCCCGGAGCCCCGGGGACTCTCCCCCCGGAGCCCCGGGGACCCTTCCCCCGGAGCCCGGCCTGGAGCGGGGACCCTCCCCCCGAGGCCCGGCCCGGAGCGGGACCCTCCCCCCGGAGCGGGGACCCTCCCCCCGGAGCCCCGGGGACCCTCCCCCCGGAGCCCGGCCCGGAGCGGGGACCCTCCCCCCGGAGCCCCGAGGACCCTCCCCCCGGAGCGGGGACCCTCCCCCCGGCGCGGAGCGGGGACCCTCCCCCCGGAGCCCGGCGCGGAGCGGGGACCCTCCCCCCGGAGCCCGGCCCGGAGTGGGGACCCTCCCCCCGGAGCCCGACCCGGAGCGGGGACCCTCCCCCCGAGGACCTCCCCCCGGAGCGGGGACCCTCCCCCCGGAGCGGGGACCCTCCCCCCGGCGCGGAGCGGGGGGGCTCGGGCTGGTGAGGCCGGGAGCGCGGCTCCAGCATCCGTCCTCCCGTCCGGCCCGAGTCCCTCCTCCGCCCGCCCGGCGCCGCCGCCGGCCCCCTCCCCCGCTCCGGCCGTCCCGGGCCGCGTCCTGCTCTCCCGCCGGGCGCCACCCACCCCTGCGCGGGGCGCTCGGGTCCCCACTCCCCACCCCCGCCCCGACCCGCACCCCAGCCGCCCCGGCCCCCGCCCCCAGGCCGGTTACCGAGCAGCCGGAGGGGCCTGGGAGCCCAGTGACCGGCACCCGCCCGCGGTGCCCCCAGAGCCGCCCGGAGGGCCTTGGGGGCTGGGGTCGCCGGGGAAGTGGAGACTCCGGCGGGAACGGGCTGGAGCCGGCAGAGGCCGGGCTGTTCCCAGGCCCCCACCCCCCTTTCCCCTCCCCCCTCCCCCCAGCCAGTCCACCCCCTCCCCCCAGAGCCAGTCCACCCCCTCCCCCCATAATCGGCTCAGCCCAGTCCCACTGACCTCCCCTCCCCCCACGGCTGAGCCTCCTGGCACCTGGGTGCGCGGGGGCGGGGAGGGGAATCCAATCTCCCTTCCCCTCCATCTGGCCGGCGGACAAAGGGCAGGGGACCATCTGGCCGCCGGCGGGGGAGGGGCGCGGCGGTGGCGGTCCCGGGGGCGGGGGCGGGGCGGCGCTCTGGAGGCGAGAGCCTGAGGGGTCTAATGGCTTCACTTTATTTCGCGGACCTCCTCTCTCCGCCCCACACCCCCACCGGGAGCCGGAAGCAGCGTGGTTTGGCTCAGAAGACCCAGGCCTAGGGTGGGGGGCGCCTGGGGGAGGGGGGGGAGACCGGAGGGTCAGAAGGGTGGTCTGCCCCCCGAACAGAAGGGGGCAGTTCTGGTTGGGAGTGGATTTCAGGGTCTAAGCCTGGCAGAGGATGTCCTGCAAGGACCGGTCTCTGGATCCCCCCCTGCCCAGACATGGGGTGCTGTGTGGATGGGGGGGCACGTGCCTATGTGAATGCTTCTGCAGGCGCACAAGCGGGCACGTGTGCACCTGCGTGTGCAGCCCGTCAGGAGCTGTACCTATCGGGTTGGGGCGCGTTTGGGAACGTGTGAGCGTGCACATGGACATGTGTGTTCTGTGGCCTCAGAGGCGGGGATGGCTGTGGGTGCCCTTCGGGGCAGCTCAGGCGGATGTGGGGGGCAGGTTCTGGACAGAGAGAGGAAGGAGCAGGAGCGAGCAGGAGAGCCACGGCAGAGCATCCCTCCACCAGATCACGTCCATTGATTCCTGATTGTTTTTTCTCTCATTCACCTCCTCAGTGCGTCGCTGCGAGAGAAAGAGAAGACAGACAGAGAGACCCGGAAGACCAGCACCCAGACAGACACACAGGCACACACCTGTGGCGTGTGCAGCGGGGGAGAGCCCAGAAAGGTCAGCAGCCGCGGACAGGAGAGCGGCCTCAGGCCAGGCCCTGCAGGAAGGCCAGCAGCCCGGCATGCCACTCCTCAGGTTTGTCCAGGTAGCACGGGTGCCCCGCCCCCTCCATGACCAGCACCCGATGGTTGGGCAGCTGCTTCAGGTGCTCGAAGCTGGTCGGGCCCATGGGGTCCTTGTCTCCGTAGACAATCAGAGCTGGGGTCTGGAGAGAGGGAAGAGGCAAAATCAGCGGGACCTTCAGTCTCTCCCGGGTCACCCCAAATGAGGGGAGAGCAAGCTGGCCCAGTGGGGTGGGGTGTGGGGGTGTGTCTGTCCCAGTCCAGTGTGGCACAAGGCTTGGCCCAGGGATAGAAGTCAAGCCCAGGAGCTTCCCCACTCCCCCCCTCCTCGTTACCCCCTCCCAGGTGAGGAAAGGCCCCGAGGGACTGGCCCTGGCTCTGGCAGGGACACGGCGCCTTCCCCGGGGTACCTTCACGCCGGCGTAGTCCGAGGCACTGATCTTGTCCGTGCAGATGGGGGCCACGGGCACGTAGCCCCGGAGCGGGGAGCCGGGGGCCGTGAGGAGGGGCAGCGAGTACATGCCGCTCAGAGACGGGCTGATCACCACCGGGGCGCCCAGGTCCAGGGCGTCCACCACGGCTGCCAGGAAGCTGCTAGGGACCAGCTCCCCAACAGCGGCGGGGGCCGTGGCGTCCTTGGAGTGCCCCAGGCCTGCAGGGGTTTCAGTGGAAGAAACGAGGCACACCGGTGGGTGGGGAGGGCCCCTTCCTCCAGGAAGCCCTCCTGGGTCAGTCTCTCTGTGCAGCACGCCCCGCTGTGTTTCTGTCGCTGCTGCCGGGACTGTCCCATCCATGGCCGGCACGAAGCCCCTCCTTCGTCAGCACAGAGCTCCGGAAAGAGCCAGGCCCTGAACTCCAACGCAGCCAGACCCCGAGTCCCAACTTTCCATCCACAATCAATGTGTTCCTGGGAGGGTCCCCAGCCCTCTCCACTGTGAGAGGGGAAAAGGGGCCGAAACCGGTGTTGCTCAGTGGATAGAGCATCAGCCTGCGGACTGAAGGTCCCAGGTTCGATTCCGGTCAAGGGCATGTACCTTGGTTATGGGCACATACCGAGTAGGGAGTGTGCGGGAGGCAGCTAATTGATGTTTCTCTCTCATTGTTTCTGGTTCTCTATCCCTCTCCCCTGCTTTCTGTAAAAAAATAAATTAAAAAATATATAGTTTTTTATCCAAAACCGGTTTGGCTCAGTGGATAGAGCGTCGGCCTGCAGACTGAAGGGTCCCGGGTTCGATTCCGATCAAGGACATGTACCTGGTTGCGGGCACATCCCCAGTAGGGGGTGTGCAAGAGGCAACTGATTGATGATTCCCTCTCATCAATGTTTCTGACTCTCTATCCCTCTCTCCTCTTCTCTGTGAAAAATCAATAAAATATATTTAAAAAAAAAAAAATATATATATATATATATATATATTTTTTTTTTTTTTTAAATAAAGGGGAAAAGGGACCTGCCGTGTAAGTTTGTTGTGAAATGGAGCTAACGGCGCAGGGGGCAGCTGTCCAGGACGGCAGGGTGAGCGCCCGAGGACAGGGCTGAGGGGCTGGCTCTGCACCCTCGCCTCCCTCCCCACGGGTGAGCCCCACCGGTCCCCCAGGAAGATTATTTGCTCAAAACCTTCGCCTCGAAGCTCAGCCCAACCCACTGTCGGCACCAATCCCGCCTGGGCCTGCAGGCCCGCCCTTGGGCACCGAGGCCAGACCGGCCAAGGCCAGCGAGGGGAGCAGGTCAGCCGGGCAGCTAGGGCCGCCGGTCAGCACCCGGGGTGAGGGCCACCAGTCTGGCTGCCCTGCCTCCTCCTGAACCCGGCTGAGGGCTTTCTCCAGGGAACATGCCGAGCGGCTTAGCCACCCACCGGGACACTCGGCCTCACTCCCAGGGCTTCCAGCGGGGCCTGCGGTTGTGCTTCTGTCAAAATATGTTCCTTCCAACGGGCTGTGTCAGGTCCTGGCCGGAGTCACGCGGACACAATTCCATTCTCACCAGCGCCAACCCCCACAGGAGCCCGGTTATCTCGTTACAGCCGAGGACACAGAGGCTCTGAGACACTGGCCCGGGCAACACCCAGAGCGGCTGGGCAGCGTCCAGACCAATCCCGGTCAACCCTGGGGCGGCTCCGTTCCTGCAGTGCGCGCTGGGCCCTGGCCCAAGTCCCCCCCAAAACCCCAAGCCCCGACCCCCAGGCCCGGGTCCCCAAGGAGGTCCCCACCGCTGCTCCAGAACGTACCTGGCAGGTCGATGGCCACCGCCCGGTAGCCCGCCTGCGCCAGCCGGAGCAGCGTGCCCAGCTTCTGCCAGGTCTCGGAGGAGAAGCGGATCCCGTGCAGCAGCAGCACGGAGAAGCGGGCGGCCTGCCCCGCGCCCGGCCGCGCCTCCCGGAAAAACAGGCTCTGGCCCTGCACCTGGACGGTGCCCTCCCGCTGCTCCGCGTCCGCCATGCCGCCCGCAGCGCCTGCGGGGGAGAGTGGGCTGGTAAGCCACAGGCAGGGGGGGGGGGTGAGGCACCCCACAGCGAGGGGAGCCGCCTCAGAGAGCAGCAAGGCCCCTACCTCCCCCCACCCCCAGGCTCCCAGAACTCTAGCAACAAGCTTTGGAGCGAGGAAGAGGAAGGTGTTATTTCTCTCCGCCGCTCACTTAATCGTATGGTCTTGGGCCTCTGTTTCCTCATCTGAAAAATGGGACAGTAAAGCCCACGTCAAGAATTAACGAGTTAAGCCGAAACCGGTTTGGCTCAATGGATAGAGCGCCAGCTTGGGGACTGAAAGGTCCAGGGTTCGATTCCGGTCAAGGGCATGTACCTTGGTTGCGGGCACATCCCCAGTGGGGGTGTGTGCAAGAGGCAGCTGATCGATGTTTCTCTCTATCCCTCTCCCTTCCCCTCTGAAAAATCAATAAAATATATTATTAAAAAAAAAAAAAAAAAAAGACCCCTAACCGGTTTGGCTCGGCATGGGACTGCAGACTGAAGAAGAAGAATCGGAGAGTGAGGGTGCCTGCCCTGGAAAGCACTGCGCACAGGGGCTCCCATGACTCCTGTCCTCACGGGCAGTCTTTTCTGCCAGTGGGGACAGCCCCGTGCATCCAGCTCCCAGGTGGTCCGCGGGGTTAAATGAAACCCTGTGGGCCGGCCGAGCGCTCACTCCTGCGCTGGCCGTTGCTCACAGCTAGAAGCTGACTATTTGGCTCATCACCCTCTTCCTCTTCACGGCACGGTGAAGGCAGTGTGGCCCGCAGGCGGGAGAGGAGAAAAGCACCCATTTTCTGGAAGCGGAAGCCGCAGCGCTCCGGAGAGAAAGCATTTGGAATTCCCGCCCGCGAGGGGCGCGCGGTGCTGGGCGCGCTGACGCCGGTCAGGGGGCCCCGGCGCCGCCCCGGCTCGCCCCGCGCCCGCCGAGGAGGGGGACCTGGTGCTGCCCGGCGGGCGGGCAGGGCGGGCGCGCGGGGCAGGGGAGCAGGGGGCCGAGAGGGAGGGGAGAAGCGGGGAGCAGTCTCACCGGAGCGGGGACAGAGGGCTGGGACGCGGCGGGCAGGTACCTGGAGCTGCGTGGGCTCGCTCAGCGGGAGGAAGCGAGGACTGGAGGCGAATGGGGCCGGGGCAGGGGAGCGGGGAGGGGCCGGGGCTGGGGAGCGGGGAGTGCCCCGCCGTGCTGCAGGGCGCCCTCTTATGGCCACGGCCGGCGGCAGGGCCCACGTGCCCAAGCACCCGCCTGGGTGCCTTCTGAGACCCTCCGCGACCGCCCACAAGCCCAGGGCCCGGCTTCAGGAGGGGGTTCCCTTGGGGTCGCATCCTGGGTGTGCCCGCCTCTCCTCCTCCCCACCCCCAGTCTGCACTGCCACGTCCAGAGTTGCTCGCCAGGCATGCAGTTGAGGCTCGACGGTTTGCTTTTGTTTTATTTATCCTCACCCAAGGATGTTTTCCCATGTTTTTAGTGGAAGAAAGGGAAAGACAGAGAGAAATATCCATACGTTTGGTCGCCTCCTGCACATGCCCTGACCTGAGCCTGGGCCAGGGAGGAGCCTGCAACCCAGGTACATGGCCTTGATCAAACCCGAAAGGGTCCCACAGGCTGGCGCGCTATCCACTGAGCCAACCCGGCTAGGGCGCGACAGGATTCATGCGGGATTCTGCCAGTGCCCAGCCAGGCAGCCCTGGTTGTGTTCCCAACGCCTCGGAGCCCCCTTCCTGGCCTGTAGACGGGCTGTGAGGCCACCACCCCGCAGGGTGCAGAGTCCTCTCTGTGCCAGGCCTCTCTGTGCCCGAGCCTGGGGCAGGGCCGACGTCCATCACATGTTGCCAAACAGGAAAGGTAACAGGAGACTGAAGCACCCAGAGGCCGCCCTGGGCCAACCCGGGGCGTGCGGGGCCCAGGGCGTGCGGGACGCAGGGCATTTGTATGGCGCTGACCCTGCGAGGCCTCCCTGCCGGACCCGCTCTGAGGCTGGGCAGGTCCCTCCGTCCTAAGACAACCCTTATGGAACCGCTTTAGGAGGGAGGCGGAGGGCGGCGGGAGGGGGTGGAGACCCCGGGGGGGGGGGGAGGCTGTGTGCCTCTACCCCGGCTCTCAGGCCTAAAACAACCCGGAAAACCTGGACGCAGGGCCGCGCGGAATGTGGGGCGCCGCCCCCTGTCCCCCTCCACCGGGGCCACGGGGCGCAGGGCCTGCGGCGGCGACTGCGCACGCGCGCCCGGCGGCTCGGGCCGGAGCGGCGGGGCCTGCGGAGCCGGACGCAGCCGGGGCGCCGGGCGGTTTGGCTGCGGGTTCCGGGGGGCGGGGCCCGCTCGGCGGCGGCGGGCCGGTCTCTCCAGCGCCGGTGAGCGTCCCGGACGGAGCGGTGCCGGGGCGGGCCGGCCCGGCTCCTCCCCGCGGGCAGAGGCCGCGGGAGGGAGGGAGGGAGGGAGGGGCGGGCGCGGGTGCTCTGGGGTCTGCGTGCGGGTGGCTGGGGGCATGTCCCTGACTGTCCGCCTGTGTTGGAAGCTGTCCGTCTGCCCGCTCGTTGTCTGTGGATGCCTACGGTGTATATTTCAGCGTGTGATCTGGAGGGTGTGTACCGGCCGTGTCTGTGTATTTCTGAGAGTCTGTGTGTGTGTGTGTGTGTGTGTGTGTGTATGGTCTGTGTGTGTGTGTGTGTGTGTGTGTGTGTGTGTGTGTATGGTCTGTGTGTGTCTGTGTGTGTGTGTGTAGTTTTAGGGCTGTGTGTATGACGGTGTTCTTGACATTGAAGGAACTGCGTGTGGTTTTGAAACCGTGTCTGTGCGTCTGTCCATCTGCCTTCCTGGTGCCTGATGCTGGGCATGATTTTGAGGGTGTCTTTCCCGTGCACACGCAGGTTCACCTGGGTGTCACTGTCTATGCAGATGCCAAGGCCGCCCTGAGCCCAGGCCCTGTGTCTGTAGTAGCCAGATCAGGTTGCCTGTACCTGGCAGGGAAAGTTGCCCAGTGCTCCAGCCTCCTGGGTTCCTGGGTTGCCAAGGCAACGGCAGAATTCTAGGGTCACCCCCTGACCTGGGGGCCTGGGGGTGGGGCTTAGGCGACATCCCAGGAGAGGTGGGTGGGGCTGGAGACTCCCAATGAGTTTCCTGGCAAATGGGAACAGGAGGCCGGCCCCAGTCAAGTCCACCGTGTGCTGGAATCTCACAGGAGGCGGCTTGGGGGCCGGCAGACTGCCTCCCACTTTTACTGACAAACTGAAGACTCGCGGCCAGGAAGCCGGCTGACTGCTCTGGCTGGGCCCTGGCCCTGAGGCCTGTCCACTGGCAAAGGACCCTGGCCGAGGAGTCCGTGAAGCAAGTCACTTGGCAGGAAGCTGGGGTGGGGGTGGCATGCATGTCTGCAGCCTCCATGCTGCCCTTTGCATTGGGGTGCCATTCTCCTGCCTGCCCCCCCCCCCCCGCCTCAGCTTCTCCTCCTCCCGGGATTCTCCCTGCGCACTTACACCAGCTGGGCTGGAGTTCCAGCCCCACCCATTGTCCGGCACATTCCGAGCTTAGCACTATCTGCACAGGGATAAAAAGAACCTTCCAAACAGGTCCTGAGCAGGACCTCTCCCCCAGCCTTTCCCCTTTGAGGCCTCACCCCGTGCCCCCCACAAAGCTGAGCTGTGCCTCAGCTGGGCGCTTCCGGGGGCGATTCGGGGTGGAGTCCGGGGTCCAAGCGGGGCCTCAGCCTCCTCTCCTCCTCCAGGCGGTGGCACAGTCCTCCATGAGCCGGTCCCACGCGGCCCTGCTGGGCCTGGGCCTGCTGCTCATGCTGCTACTGTACGTGGGGCTGCCGGGCCCCCCTGAGCCCACTCCCTGGCTCTCGGGAGACCCCAATGTCACCATGCTGGTCGGTCTCACCCGGGGCAACTCCCGCATCTTCTACCGCGAGGTGCGCCCACTCCACCGGGCACGAAGGTGGGTGCTGACCCCGGATCTAGTAGGATGAGGCCTGAGGGGAGCCCCTGTGTGGGACCCCAGCTCCAGCGGGGTGCTGAGGGCTGGGAGGGCAGTGGGAGAGGCCTGGGGAGAAAGCGGGGCCCTCCCCGCCAAAGCCTCAGACCCCTGCCCCCCGCCCCGCTCGCACCCGCAGGCCCGAGGTGGTGCTGCTCCACGGCAAGGCCTTCAGCTCCAGCACGTGGGAGCAGCTGGGCACGCTGCTGCTGCTGGCACACCGCGGCTACCGCGCGGTGGCCCTGGACCTCCCAGGTGAGAGCCCGCCGGCCCAGGGGCGGCTCCCCAGAGGCGCGTGGGGGGCAGGAAAGCCCTGGGAGGTGGCCGGTTGCGTCCTGTACCCGGACGAGCAGCGCCAGGTTGCAGAGGGCAGAGGGAAGGTCTGCATGTCCTCCCTGTAACCTGGGCGGATCGCTGCGCATCACCGAGCAGATGGCACGGGCCTCACCCACTGGGTGCAGGTTCGCTGGGTCCAGGGGAGACCTCACCTGAATCCAGTTTATGACAAACTAGAGAGCCAGAGAGCTTTTTATTTTTTTTTTAAGCTGATAAAGGATTTATGCCATCACTCTTGGCATTAAAAAATCAAACAAGCCCTGGCTGGTTTGGCCTGTGGACTGAAGGGTCTGATTCTGATCAAGGGCACGGACCTTGGTTGCAGGCTCCTCCTCGGCCCGAGCCCCGATCCAGGCACATGCAGGAGGCAAACCCATCGATGTGTTTCTCTCGGGTGGGGATTAAATCAAATAAGAGTGGCACCTCAGAGACCCAGGCCCCTCCGGACAGGTCCGGACATAAAGAAAAGTGTGCAGGGCTGGGTGATAGGGTTGTGACCATGCCCCTCGGCAGCATGGTCTCCTCCCCCACACCGTGTCTCTGGGATCCTGCCAGTGACTGCCACCTCCTCTTCCCCTGGGGGTGGGGGGCAGGCTGTGCTGGGTTTGGAGCTGGAGTTTCAGCCGAAATGCTTGGGTGCCCAAGCACCTCTGGCCCTGCTGCCTGGAGCATGAGGGCGATCCTTTCTGTGGGAGAGCCACCAAGGACACACATCTTTTTATTTTTGTACTTTATTAATTTTTGACAGAGAAGAAGGGAGAGGCATAGTTAGAAACATAGATGAGAAACATCGGTTAGCTGCCTCTTGCACGGAGCTGTGCCAGCAACCAAGGTACATGCCCTTGACCGGAATGGAACCTGGGATCCCTCAGTCTGCAGGCTGATGCTCTATCCACTGAGCCGCACCGGACAGGGCAGGACACCCCTCTTTTCAATGTTGACAATTACTTCCTGACCCTCCAAATCTGCTCCATGGCTCTTTCCTCCCATCAGTCCCCGGTGGAAGTGCCCATTCCCCCACATCCTCCCCAACACTGCGTGTTACCAGTCTGCTTCCGATTCGCTGAGTGATGGGTGAAAGCTTTTACCCCGTCGCAACAAACAGCTTATAGGACGTGGGGGGCCGCACCTGCCACTGCTGCGGCCCTCCCCCGCGGGTGGGCGGAAGTCCCGGCCCCCAGCCTCCCTCAGCGGGGGCCTCTGCCACCCCAGGTTTTGGGAACTCAGCACCGTCCAAGGAGGCGAGCACGGAGGCGGGGCGGGCGGAGCTGCTGGCGCGCGCGCTGGGGCAGCTGGAGGTGCGCCAGGCCGTGCTGGTGAGCCCCTCGCTGAGCGGCCGCTATGCGCTGCCCTTCCTGGTGCGGGAGCACCCGCAGCTGCGCGGCTTCGTGCCCATCGCGCCCGCCTCCACCCTCAACTACACGCGGGAGCAGCTCCAGGCCGTGAAGGTACTGAGGGGAGGCCACCCCGCCCCGGCTCCCCCGTGGGGCAAGGGCTGTCTCACTTGGAGGACTCACGACCCTAACCCTGACCTTCCCTCCTCCCCAATCTGGGTGGACAAGATGGGTGTTTGGGGAGGACCTCCTAGGCCCCCGGAGGCCTAGCACCACAGCCTGGCCTCGCCCTGCAGACCCCCACGCTCATCCTGTACGGGGAGCTGGACCGCACCCTGGCGCGGGAGTCCCTGCGGCAGCTGCGCCACCTGCCTCAGCACTCCGTGGTGAAGCTGCACAACGCAGGGCACGCCTGCTACCTCCACCAGCCCGGCGACTTCCACCGGGCCCTCCTCGCCTTCCTGGACCAGCTGCCGTGAGCTCGCCGCCGGCGGCTCGGAGGGTCTGGCCCGGCCCCGCCGGGAGGCAGCCACTGGGATTGGAGGGCGGAGAGCCAGGCTCAGCCGGGCCGGCCTCTCATTTATCTCACAGGCACAATAAATACGAGCACTTTGTCCTGCCAGAGTGCCGGTCCTGGTGTTGCTGCGGGGCGGGGTGCGGGTGGGGAGGCTAAGAACATGGGCTGCTTCCCAGCCAGCTGCCCTCTCCGCTCTGCGGCTCTGTCCTCCCCTGTGAAACGGCCTGAGGGTAACGCCGAGCTCAGAAGGCGGCCTTCGGGCTGGATGGGTCTGGGTCTGGGTCTGGGTCTGGGTCAGGGTCAGGGGCGCTGAGGGCCACACGGTGCTGGGGTGCGGGGTCCCTCCTGCTGCAGGCCCCCCGGGGTTGGTGGGCACCCTGAGAAGTGCAGGAGCTGTGGCCAAAGGGAGCGGAAGGTGCCAGGGTGGGGCGGAGAGCATGGCAGCCTGGGGAGCCACCAAGCCTGCTTGCCCCTGGGTATGTGGGTCAGCAGTTCAGGCCTGCCCCCAGGAGGGCTAGGACAGACCTCCCAGCCTGCCTCTTCTGGGCCCGAGGGTAAAGTCCTTCACCCTGCCCCTCCCCATGCCCACAGCCCCTGGAGCGGGGCAGAAGCTGAGAGGACAAAGGGCAGCAGTGAGAGTGCAGCCTGTGGGTGGCCCGGGCTCCTGTGTCTGTCCTCCTCTCCACGGCGTAGAAGGCCTGGCCCGCGGCAGACGGTGTGCCATCCGCAGGGTGAGTCCCCGCCTCTCAGTCACACAGCATCCTGGCTACCTCCTCGCCGGGGACATCCGGGGCCGCTCAGACTTGCCAGCCCCAACCACAGCCACACTGCACCCTCCCGGCCATGCCCTCTGGCAGCTGAGTGGCCACACGATCACATGGCGGCCACCTCGCCCTGTGGCCCATTCACCCCGCATCCGGCCTGTCCAACAGGGGTGTGTCCTGCGGGTGCCTGGACCAGGCTCGGGGGGCGGGGGGACAGGCCGTCAGGGGGCCCCTCCCCAGGAGCTGAGACACCCAGGGGAGCAGCAGGACTCTCCAGGGAGGAGGCAGGGGCCTAGGGCTCACTCGGCCCGGACCCTGCAGCGCTGCACCCTGAGCGCTAGGGGCGCCCGACTTCCGCGTCAGCACCCGCCCCCTCTCTCGCGGCCCAGAGGCGGGGCCGCAGGTGGGGCCCTCCGGGGGCGGGACCACCCGGAACTCGCGGCCCAGAGGCGGGGCCCGGGGCGTGTCCTGGGGCGGGGCGGGGCCTGGGGGCGGGGCGGGGCCTGGGGGCGGGGCCGGGCGGGAGCTCCAGTCCGACCCGCGGGAACAGGCCGCGGAGGCCTCGGCTCTGGAAGGCGGCCCGTGATCCGAACCTGGGCTCCCTGGGCGGCGGCTGGAAGCGGGGCGGGCGGAGACCCGTGCACGGTCCCAGCCTCCGGCCCCGCCCCGCGATCCCGGTCCAGCCACGTGGTGGGCGGGGGCGGTTCCGGGCCTGCGACCTCCCCGCGCCCGGAGTCCCGGCCCCAGTCCCGGGCGGTGCTGAGAGGCGAGCACGGCCCGGACCGGCAGAGAGCGAGGTGGGGCCCTGGGGCGGGGTGGGGTGCGGGCTCCCTGGCAGGAAATCGGAGCAACTGGGGAGACACTGTTTGAGGGGGGCGGGCTGCGGGGCAGGAAGGTCTGGGTCCACACGTGGCTGCTGCGCCCCGCCGCCCTGAGCCCCCCGGAGCCTCAGGGCGTCCAGGGCGCGAGCTGCATGGCTTCGGGGACGCAATGAGGACGCGGGCTGACAGCGGCCACACAGCACCTCCCACAGCTGGGGCTCCGGGGCAGGGGTCCTCTCCCAGGGGGCCTGCGGGGACCCCGCCTGGGGGCGGGGGTAGACGGGGTTCACTGGCCCGGCGGCCGGAGGGTAGCGCCACTCTCTGCCCGCAGCTCCCGCAGCGCCATGGCCAGCGCGGGCCCCCGGGGCGAGCACCCGTCCGTGACGCTCTTCCGTCAGTACCTGCGCATCCGCACGGTGCAGCCCGAGCCCGACTACGGTGAGCCCCTCCGCGGCCCCCAGGGAGCCTCCCTCCAGCCGCTCCTCGGGGCCACCTTCCTCCGGAGTCGCTCCCAGCGGCGGGTCCAGGAACAGCATCCCTCCCTCGGGCCGGGGGGGAGGGGGGCCGGGCTGCCACTGGGGAGAAGTGTCCCGAAGTCCGCTGGGGCGGGACCAAGGCCTCAGAACCTTAGGCGTCTCGCTTGGAGGCTGGGAGCTGTGCGTGGGTCCCCATTGCTACTGTGGCTTCCACCTGGGAATGCTGGGGACTCGTGTCCCTGCTCACAGCTTCCCGTCTCTCAGGAAGACGCTAACTTCCCGCCCGGCCCGCCACAGCGGGTCCCTGAAGGACCAAATACCGCTTCCTCCCGAGGGTCTCTCTAGATGCAGGGGTCCCAGACGTGGGATTGTGTGGAGGGGGCAGCAGTCTGCTCCCCTCTCTGGATGTGCCCCCAAGCCCTGCCTGGGCCGGGGCCGGGGAGAGCCTGGCCCTAAAACCGGCCGCCTGCAGGGGCTGCGGTGGCCTTCCTGGAGGAGCGAGCCCGCCAGCTGGGCCTGGGCTGCCAGAAGGTGGAGGTGAGCCTGGGTCCGTGCGGGGAGCAGAAGTGGCCTGGGCACCTGCGCTCCCCACTGAGCTTCTCTCCCTTCCTTCCCTCCCCAGGTGGCCCCCGGCCGTGTGGTGACGGTGCTGACCTGGCCAGGCACCAACCCCAAGCTCTTCTCCCTCTTGCTCAACTCCCACACCGATGTGGTACCTGTCGTCAAGGTGTGTAGGGGGGAGGGTGGGAAGCCCAGGGCTGGTCCTGGCACCGGCTCGGACCTCACTGGGCATCATGCCCCTCAGCAGCCTCATCCAGCAGCTGTTCCACACGCAGGTGGGGGTGGAGGGGGTCACAGAGGTGGGGGGCAGTCTGCTGCCCTCATCAGGCCTCTTCTGTCGCCTTCGCCACCCCACCCGTCACCCCTCGGTGGGCTCCTCGGGCAGGCCCACGGTGGGCAGAGGGGATTAATGCCTGAACTTGGGGCCTGGGGTCTCTTCCATCCCTGCGCCAGGAGTACTGGAGTCACGACCCCTTTGAGGCCGTCAAGGACGCGGAAGGCTACATCTACGCCCGGGGCGCCCAGGACATGAAGTGTGTGAGCGTCCAGTGAGTGTCCTCACTCCCCCTGCCCCTCTACCCCCTTCTCCCCCCGTCCCCATGTCCCCTGAGTGACCCAGAACCGGGGGTGGCACTGGAGAACCCCAAGGCTGAGGAACAGCTTGGCCTGGCGGTGGGCAGGAATTGTTGCTGGAACCATTGCACGGGCGGGGAGACGGGGCAGGGCCAGGCTTTGGCAAGCAGGGCCAAGGCCTGGGGCTCAGCCTGCCCCCCCCCCCCCCCAGGTACCTGGAGGCCGTGAGGAGGCTGAAGGCTGAGGGCCACCGCTTCCCCAGAACCATCCACATGACCTTTGTGCCAGGTGGGCGTGGCCGGGAGGGCTCCTCCGGGGAGCGGGAGGGGGAGGGGTGCTGGGCATGGCTCCCTCACCTCCCGTCCCTCTGCTTTCACAGATGAGGAGATTGGGGGTCACCAAGGCATGGAGCTGTTTGTGCAGCGGCCTGAGTTCAAGGCCCTGAGGGCTGGCTTCGCCCTGGATGAGGGTGAGCAAGCGGCAGGCCTCTGAGTGGCCAGAGGAGGGATAGGGAGGCTGCTAGGGGGGCTGGGCCACCCTGCCCTCTGACCCCCCTTTCCTCCCTCCTTAGGCCTGGCCAACCCCACTGACGCCTTCACTGTCTTCTACAGCGAGCGGAGCCCCTGGTGTGAGTGTGGCGTGGGGGGAGGGGGTGTCTGTGCAGATGGGAGACCTGGAGCCCCGGGCCTGAGCCTCGGCCCCTCTGGCCTGGGCTTCCTCTCCATCTGAGGGCAGGAAGCAGCCTGCACTGCGGGTTCCGGGGGCAGTCCTGTCAGAGGAGCTTGGACTGAGGGGCAGGCCTGGCCCAGCCTCTCCCATGCTGAAGGGCCCTTCCCTGCATCTCCCAGGGGTGCGGGTCACGAGCACCGGGCGGCCCGGCCACGGTTCGAGATTCATCGAGGACACAGCTGCGGAGAAGCTGGTGGGTGGCACCCAGGGGTGAGCTGGGGAGGTCCCGGGCTGTCCCGGGCCCTCTCACATCATCTGACCTCCTGCGCTCCCAGCACAGGGTCGTGGGCGCCGTGCTGGCTTTCCGGGAGGAGGAGAAGCAGAGGTGAGGCGCGGGGAGGCCGGGCAGGGATCCGTGCCGGACAGGAGGCTGAGCCTGGTCCTCACCTGTGTGCCCGCCGCAGGCTGCAGGCCAACCCCCACCTGAAGCTGGGCGCCGTGACCTCTGTGAACCTGACCAAGCTGGAGGGCGGCATGGCCTACAACGTGGTGCCCGCCACCATGAGCGCCGGCTTTGACTTCCGCGTGGCCCCGGACGTGGACCTGCAGGTGCCACCTCCGCCCGGGTTTGGAGGAGGGAGCCGGGCTCTCGGGCCTGTCCTGAGGCTCAGGGGAGCCGGGCTCAGCTCCTCTCCGTCTCCTAGGCGTTCGAGGAGCGGCTGCGGGGCTGGTGCCAGGCAGCTGGCCCGGGGGTCACCTTCGAGTTTGTCCAGGTACCGGCCCGGCGACCGGCAGTGGGAAGCGGGGGGCGGGGCCTGCCAGGTGGTGTCCCTGGAGGTGTGCTTGGTGCCCTGGGATCACCTGACCGGTTTAGTTCTTAGTCCTATTCTCACAGCATTTATCTGGGCATAACCGTGGTCCAGGAGAGGGGGACTGTCCTCTGGGAGAGCTGTCCGGAGGGAGGGACGCTAGGGCTGGGACCTGAAGGATGGACAGGAAGTAAGCTGGGGAGGCAGCTGAGGGTCCTCGGAGGAACTGAAGGAGCCGGTGGATGGGCTGGCCAGCTGGTTGTGTGTGCGTGGGTGCGTGTGCATGCGCACCCTGTGCTGGGCAATACCCACCCTATGAAAATAGGGCAAGATGCCCAGGCCTTGTCCTGACCCTGCCACCCTTCTCCTCCCCGCAGAAGTGGACGGAGCCCCGAATAACTTCTACAGATGACTCAGACCCCTGGTGGGCAGCGTTTAGTGGGGTCTGCAAGGACATGTGAGCACTGGCCCGCCTCCTCTCCCCTCCCCGCTCTCTGTGCCCCTTCGGCCCTGGCCTCGCCCTCTTCCCTGCCCGCCCCCTCACCAGGCTCTGCCCTTCAGGAGCCTCACGCTGGAGCGGGAGATTTTCCCCGCGGCCACCGACAGCCGCTACCTCCGCGCGGTGAGCTGCTCGCGGGCGGGTGGGCGGGGGCAGCGGTGGCCCTGGCTGCTGGCCGCCCCCTGATGGCTCCTCCTCGCCCTGCAGGTGGGGGTCCCGGCCCTGGGCTTCTCCCCCATGAACCGCACTCCCGTGCTGCTGCACGACCATGATGAGCGGCTGCATGAGGCCGTGTTCCTCCGGGGGATCGACATATACACACGGCTGCTGCCCGCGCTGGCCAGCGTGCCCGCCCTGCCCAGCGACGGCTGAGCCCGCGCCCCCAGCCTCTGCCCCTGGAGCGCCCACCTGGCCAGTGCCAGGCCCCGCCCCGGCCCCACAATAAAGCCTGGTGGACAGGGCCCGCTGAAACTGGCAGCAGCGTGTGCGTGGAGCAGGGGTGCGGCTACCATCCGCTGCGCAGAGGAAACAGCCTGGCTCTGGGCACTGCCCACCACCCTGGGCTGCGTGTCCTTCACACGGCACAGCCACCCGACCCCCAGCCCTGTGGCCGGCCACGGGGGCCAGCATTCCGTTCCCAGCAGCCACCATGTCTACATCTGTGAGGCCGGAATGCCATTCCCCTTGAGGGGGACAACAGGCAGATGTCAGGACGTGACTCCTGGCTCTCGGGGAGCACACGCAGGGCCCCCGCCAGATGTGGGCATGCGGGCGCAGCTGGCAAGGCTAACTGCCAACGTCAGCCTTCAGGCGGGCAGGAAGCAGGTGTGGCCCTGCTCTGGTCTGACGAGGAGCCAGGACACTGCCAGCTTCTCGCCGCCCCAGGGCCCCGCAGCCCTGATGCAGGCCCTGAGCTGGTTTAGTCTGCCGGCAGCTGCCCACGCCGCACAGCCCGGGGGAGGGGAGTCAAGGTCTGAGACTAGAAACCAGGGACTCGTGCTTCCTACTCTGGAGGCAGAGCCAGCAGCTGGCTGGGCCTGAGGAAGCCTGGCTGAGGCCTGGACCCGGGGTCTCCTGAGATTGGGGTCTGCCTCCCCTTCAGACTGGACAGGATGAGAGCCCACACCCTGTCCCAGGGACCCAGGCACAGGCCTCACCTTGGCAGCTGTCCGAACTCAGGCTGGGCCAAAGCACCTCAGGACACAAAACCCGCTCTGGGCCATCACCATGCCGGCTGGCCGGCCAGTGGGGCAGCTCCTGCCAGGGTGACGGGCGAGACCTAGCAGCCCAGCTCTGGTTGGCAAACACACTTCCTGGGGCCCCGCATGACCTGCCTGGGTCACGGCTACGTCCATCCCCCTAGCTCCATGGCTGTGAAACAGACAGCAGTGGTGCCCACTTCAGGGGTGAGGGACCAATTCCATGTGTGGCACCTTTGCCAGATAATGGCACCCTTTTGTGAGCCAAGTGCCCAAGGTTGGACCACAAACCGCACGACCACTCCTCCAGGCTGGTTTGAGGACTGACTAACGGCATCTGAGGTGCATGGCGGGCGGCAGCAGCGTGCGGGCTCCCGTGCAGCGAGGCAGGCGGGGTTCGGTAGCGCATGGGGGGAACCAGGCTGAGCCGGACCCGTTCCAGATGAAGGGCGCGGGCCTTACATCCCGGGCAGGCCAGGGCTGCCCAAGAACCAGACAGCGGGCATGGGGCGGGGCCAGTCCGTGTGTGGGGGGGACAACAGGAAGCCACCTCACATCCCGGGCAGGCCAGGGCTGCCCAAGAACCAGACAGCGGGCATGGGGCGGGGCCAGTCCGTGTGTGGGGGGGACAACAGGAAGCCACCTCTGCCCTGGCCGGGATGGAGCCTGCAGTGGTCCCCACTCCTCCCAGGACTGGCTCAGTCTCACGTGCCCCCTCCCCCTCCAGTGCCCTTCACCTGCCGGGGGCTGCAGCTGCAGGGGGTAGCTCATTTGGTTCCCCACTGACCGCCCTGGAGACAGCCCACAGCGACAACTTCACACACACACACACACACAAGGAAAAGGCCGAGTAAAGCAGCCGCCCAGTGTTAGCAACCATCGTTCCCGCCGCGCCCCCCAGGACCCCAGCCAGTGCGCTAGGTCGCTTGGCCTTGGTGTGGGTCCATCAGGGCGTTTGTGTGTACAAAGGGGCACGCAGATGCCTCGGCTATAAGACACGCTGTAGGTGGGATGCAGGGTGCCTCTGTAATGACGCCACAGCACAGCGGAGACTGAGGTTAGAGACATGCTCACAGGGACCTGGGCTGGGTTACAGCCTGGTCTTTGGTGTGAAGCAGCTGCAGCCGGAACCTGCCAGGCTGTGTAAGCCGTGCCGGCTGGGAGGTGGCGCTTTCTGTCGCGAGGTCACTAGCAGGGGACAGGCCGACCCACCTCCTCCCTTCCATGGTGCCTGTGCCAGTCACACACACTGGTGTCTCCATGGGTCCCAGCTGCACTAGGGTGACAGGGTCTCACTGGGGACGGCCGTTCCTCCCCACCAGGGGCACGAAGTCACTGCCCAACTGCAGAAGGTCCCAGTGCAGATGGCAGTGAACTTCCCAGTCCAGGGACAGCTTGGTGCCTCATGGTCACTGCCACGCCAGGATCCGTCCTCAGAACGGCCAGCTGTCAGTAGTGTGACCAACCCGAGGGCTGGTAACTCGGCCTGTCCTGCTGTGCTGCCTTCGTTCCCACCCAGTGTGCCCGTCGGTGGAGTGCCAACCGCCCTCAGGTGGGTGACTACCCGGCTAGGCCTCTGCACACCAGGCTCGTCGCACTTCCTGCTTTCTTTGCGGATTGCAGAGCCAGAGGCGGGGACATTGAGGTTGGGCCTCGGAGGTGCTGTGGCGGGGAGGCCATTTAGTGGGCACAGGTGACCGAGCAGTGGCAGGGCGGGCTAGTGGAATGTGGTCTACAGCCCTTGAGGGCCAGTCCTTGCTCTGCTGCTCTATCTGGTGGATCTGCCTAATTGGGACCAAAATGCCAGGGGCACTGGCGATTGACAGGCATCTGCTCTGAGAGGCAGCCTGTGCTCCCACTCCAGCTAAGCCATGTGAAGGGGAAGGCACTGTGCCGAATGGTTTAAAAGCTTGCTGACACCCCGGAACCTACACAGAAAGCCTGTGCCTCTATATTTTTTGGTGCAGGCAGGTATGTACTTTTCCTGACAGCTCAGGGACAACACCGACATGTGCCTCTCAAACTTACGGCAGCGCCCGGACCTTTCTGCGGGCCCTTCCTCCTGTGGGGCCAGCCCAGCGTGCAAGGTTCTCTGCAGCCGAGTCCACTCTTCACACCAGTGCCAACCAAGCAGCAACTATCTCTGGGCTTACCCTCCCCCCCGCCCCCCCGCCTTCATTGAAGGAGGAGTGCTGCTGAGGCGGCTGAGGGTGCGGGAGGAAATGGCTCTTCAGGCCTTCAAGCCTCCCATGACCCTAACACTGCTTCGGGCTGAAGATCAGCCTCTTCTCCGGGGAGGGGAGGGCAGCGAGCTAGCCTCCCTTCCTTCGGCCTTCAGTCCCCCACGTTCCCATCTTCCGGCAGCTTGGGGACCTGCCTGTTCCCCCAGACCTGCATGTCTTGTCCCACTATGGGGGCTCAACGTGGACACTGCACTAGGGCTCTATACACTCTGCTCTCTCTCCTGCTGTCAAAGTGGCCTGTCAGGTCCCTCCAACACTGGGCACTGCCCCGTGCATGCCCAGCTCTCCAACAACGTGCTGGACTCCCGACTCCCAGGGCCACACCTGCCAGGCCTCCCAGCGGGACAGAAAGAGCCCATCTGCACTGACCAGGCAGCAGCCAGACCGCCAAGTCTCCACTCCACTCTCGGCCCCACGCACGGGGCGAGCAGCACCACCAGCGCAGTGGATGCTGGTTCTCGAGCAGCAGCCGGAGTTGGGAACACCAGGCCAGAGCCCAGGATCCTGATCCTCCTGCTCCCTCCCGTATTCCCCATGCAAACACCAAGGCTGACACAGCCCCCCGGCTTGCCCAGTCCTCCCGGTCTGGGTCCCTCCCGTCTTCCAGGGAACCACTTCCTGACACCAGGCAGCCCGAGAAGGCGGGCTTCTCCCATAGGAAGTGGAGGCACCCAGCCCACCCGAACGCTAGGCCCAGCCCTGGGATCAGACACAGGCTGACAGACAGATCCTGCCGCAGGTTTATTTGTACAAACAGCACAGGACGGCACCAGCGCCACGCAGACGGCAGCCCAGGGGCCCACCAGTCCTTCCATCCTACTGTGGAGCCTTCGCGGGGGCCTGAGCCGCTTTGGGAGCGGGGGCCTGAGCCGCTTTGGGAGCAGCGGGCTGGGCACCTTTGGGAGCCTGAGCTGCAGCTGCACCTGCAGCCTGGGGCTTGGTTTCAGCCTTGGCCTTGGCCTTGGCCTTGACCTTTGGCGAGCAGATCCTGAGCCCCTTGGCAATGCGGGCACGAGCGCGCTTCCCGAGCTTGGGGTGAGCGATGTAGGTAAGTCGACTGAGTTTGCGGCTGCAGCCCTTGGGGATATTGGGCCTGGGCTCCTTGGACTTGACCAGGGCCTTGATGGCCTCAGCGCGAGCGCTCATGGCCTTGGCGTTGTTCGCCTGCATCTTCTTCAGGCCCTTCTTGTTGTGCTTCTTGGCAAAGCGCATGTTCCTTAGGAACTTGGGGTCTACCTAGAAGGCAGAAAGGTACAGGCGCCTGTGAGCGCAGCAGGCGGGAGGACCCCCTGGTGCCCTCTCCACAGGGGCACCAAGAGACTATCGGCTCAGCCGAGGCCTATTGGGGGCTTGGACAGCATCAAACCAACCTTAAATGCAAACACCGAACCCTGAAGCTCATCTGCAGAGAAACTCCAGAGCAGCAGCACCCAAAGCCACCACCCCCCTGCTGCCACCACAGACTGCACGTGCAGGCCTCTGCGCCCAGAGCCAGGCTGAGCGCAAATGCACGCGCAGAAGGAAACAAATGAAGCCCCCCCCCTCTGCCCGCGGTAGGACCTCAGAAACCTAAGGCTAGCAGGTCAACCTCGAGGCCTGCACATTTTTCTGCCAGCCAACATGGTGTATAAGGAACATTTTAATGAAAGTTTTATAACTTAACTTTTACAACATCCTGTTATACATAACCATTCATAATGAACTACAACTAATGACTAAGACTTAAGTGTATGTGGGCCTCAAAAAAGCAAAAGCTTCAATTAACAAAAGCTAATGACTTCTGTAACCACGGCGCATTCATTTCCCTTACTCGCAGGCGCACCATTTCTCTCCACTAACACCGGATGTTTTACTAGCCGATGGCCACACCACTGGTCTTGGACTGACTCATTTGGTGTGCACAACAGGATATATTTCGGTTTCAGAGAACAAGAAAAATAGGTTTATTTGACGCTTATTAATTTGTGCAGTTATTCAATGTCTGGTAATTAATGTTCAAGGAAAAACATTATTTGTTAAAACATTCTATTATTTTATGTTAGCGATGATTCATTTATTTCAGCCTTCTGGGTATTCAGCGTTGTCTCTATCGGAAAGCATCAAGCCCATGTTTGATTATAAACCTACATTTCTATGGAAATCAACGCTTTTGTTTTTTGCATTTACACTTTATTTGGCCCATGCCAGCCTCTGAGTTTGGCATGCTTGTCCCCTTAAAGAAAGATGTGGGTTAAATACCAAGCCTGGGTACAACCGATTCAAGCAAGTAACACAGACAAGACGTGAAAACGGGGCGCAGTTCTCAGCGAATCCTCAGAACTCGCTGGCTCGGAAGGATTCTAAGGGATGCTGCCCACACGGACAAAGCCACTCCAAGTCTCAGGGTGGACAAGGGAGACGGTCAGATTGGCCCCGAAAGACACAGGAGTTAGAAAAGGCCAAGTACAGTGTTATGATGGGTCTGGCAGAGCCCGAAGTCCAGGCAAGAGCTGGCTGGGTTAGGAAGGAAACTGCAGGCCAAAGCAAACCGAGGGTCAGTTCACGGGGCTGCGCAGGCATACACTTACCCCCTTAAGAGATTCGTATCTTTGTGACCGGGGTTTCTTGATGCCATTTCTGTGCCATTTCCGGGCTGTGGAGGAAGAAAGGAATTACATCAAAAGGAGGTTTCGCCGGCACCGGTTTGGCTCAATGGATAGAGCGTCGGCTTGGGGACTGAAAGGTCCTGGGTTCGATTCCGGTCAAGGGCATGTACCTTGGTTGCGGGCATATCCCCAGTAGGGGGTGTGCAAGAGGCAGCTGATCGATGACTCTCTCTCATCGATGTTTCTAGCTCTCTCTCTCCCTTCCTCTCTGTACAAAATCAATAAAATATATTTAAAAAAAAAAAAAAAAAAAAAAGGAGGTTTCTATCGATAGTAAGACCACGACGCCACAGCTGCCAAGCCTGGGAATCCATTACTTCCCAGAGTGTGCCTACTTGAGAGCAGAAAACTCCTTATTACCAAGCACAAAGCACTGTGGGTATCCCCGCGGACTCCTGGCCTTCTATTATTTTAAAAAATATTTTATTAATCTTTTACAGAAAAGCTAGAGTTAGAAACATCGATGAGAAAGAAACATTGATCAGCCGCCTCCTGCACACCCTCCACTGGGGACGTGCCGGCAACCTCGGTACATGCCCCCGACCGGAATCGAACCTGGGATCCTTCAGTCCTCAGGCCGGCGCTCTATCCACTGAGCCAAACCAGCTACGGCGACCCCTGTCTTCTAAATCCCAAAGGTAAAGCCAGCTAAGATCAAAACCGGCCCTAGGGCCGCAGCAGGCACGTGCCCCCTGCCATGCCCCAGTATCTGTAATCCGTGCCAGGGTGTGGGGCCTGAGATGGAGGCCGGGCCGGAGGGACTTACACTGGTTGTGCGTGGTGTGGTTCTTGGACTTGGCCATCTCTGCACCTGGAGACGAGAACGGAGGTCAGGGCTGCGGACCCGCCGGGCTGGGCCTGCCCTGACCTGGAGGAACGTGAGGCCAGAAGCCGGAACGAGGCTGCAGACAGATGCCCCGCACCTGCGGCCTCCACCCGCCTCGATCCCCGCCAACTCGGTGAGTGGCGCCCCGAAACCAACATCCCGCCGCAAGTTGCGCTCCTCCCCAAACCCGAGTTCTCCCCTTCCCATCCACCTCTCGACAAGCCACGAGCGCCACCCCGCCTCGCGGCCTCCGCGCCGCACAGCAGGCAGCCGGCTCCCCGGTGCTCCCCCGGGTTTGCGCCCCGCCGCCACCCGGGAGCCGCGGATGGTGTCGGATGCCGCGCGGCCAGTACTCACAGAAGGCCGCGGCTGCCGAAGCGCCAGGGACCGGAAGAGAAAGAGGAGGCCGCGGTGCAGCACGGGAAATACGGTCGTCAAGGCCGGAAGTACTACTGGAAAAGCTTCCCCAGAGCCGGGAAGAAAGGTTCCTAAGGCCGGGAGGATGTCGTCAGATGGAAGGCGGAGCTACGAGCCTGGCCCCGCCTTCTCCTAGTCCTCCAGCTCCAGGTTCTTGGCTCTAGTCTCTTCAGAACCTGACCGGAAGGCTACGGGAGTCCTTGAGGGGTGTGTTAGGCAGAAAATGACAAACTTTTGTTCTTAAAAAATACCCTTGGTGCCAGCTAATCCTAACCCTAACCCAGGAACCAACAGGCAGAGGTTCAATTCCTGGTTAAGGCTCCATCCCAAGTGGGGGTGTGCAGGACACAGCCAGTCAATGATGTTCCTCTCTCATTGATGTTTCTCTCTCTCTGTCCCTCTCCCTTTCTTTCTTTAAAAACCAATACAAACATATTTTAAAAAGTACCCCTGGCAACTGCGTGGAGAGTGGACTGTCGAAGGGAAGAGGAGAGAAGGGAAGGCTGGAAGGGAGGGGTGGAGAGTTGGAAAATAAACCCTGAAGTTTACATCCCTCCAAGAGATGGATTCGGAGTTTCTGGGAGAAGGGAAGGTGGAGGGCAGCAGGCTGGGGCTGGGGCTCCAGGTCTGTTGGGAAGAGAGAGGACATTACCAGCAGAAGCTTGGAGGCACAGCCTTGGGTATGCCTCACAGCGCAGGCCTCTGATTTCCCTCTGGAGAGCACCGGCCCCACGAGTGATACTGTGTCCCCAGCTGGAACGTGAGCCTGTGGTCCACATGGGGGCAGCATTGGACCGGGGATGGGGGATGGAGGATGGAGCAGGGCCCTGCGGGAGGTAGGGAGCTCCCCTCCTGAGGCCTCTCACTTTCCGCTTCTCACACCCATTCCCGCACCCCTACCTCAGACCCAGGCCCTGCCTGTTCCCAGCAGGTTCTCAGGGGCAGGCTGGGTCTCCCTTGGCCCCAAGCTCTTGGTGGCGTTCTGGGAAAGGGGGTGTCTTCCCCAGACAGTGGAGCCTGTGGCCCACCGCTTACCAGAGGGGGGAAAGCACCCCAAGATGCCGAACAGAGAGGGGCCCCCTGAGGCCAGAGCCTCTGCGGTTGGAAGAGGGACCTGGGAGCCTTGCTGGGAGTGGAGGCCTGAGGCTGGGGCTTGAAGGCAGGCCATGTAAGATGAGGCAGGAGGGGGGAGGGGGCACCCAGTGGGCTGCAGGGGCACAGCCTGGCATTGGCTCCCCATGGCTCTCTGGCACCAGACTACAGCTGACCGGGGCCTCCCTGCACTGTCCTGTGTCCCCACAGCTCAGAGGCCTGGCCCCCAGTGGCTGTCCTCCATCCCAGCACACAGCCCTACACCTGGGATCTGGGAGGGGGAGGAGCATCCTGCGAGGGCCTCCCCCGTCTCAGAGTGGTTAGTTCTCTGTTGCAGATGGGACACTGAGGTTCTGAAACGTGAGGTGACTTGCCCGGGGTCAGCCAGCTTCTCCTTTGCCAAGACCGCTCCCAGGAGTTCTCCTGGGCTTGAGCTCTGCCCGAGACTCTCACCGATGTCAGGAAGAGGGGACAATGCCTCCCGGAGGGTCCTCTGGTGGAGTGCACTCCGGCACCCACAGCAGGTGGCAGGCGGGGGCCCACCTCAGCCCCCCAACAGGACATTGGTCAGCCTGCCTTTCCGTGTCCGCCCCACGCTTGTCTATTGGTCAGTCCTCACGTTCGTGGTCCAGCACTGCCCTTGTCTCTGGTGAAGGCTGGAGAGTGAGGTCCAGACGCTGCCTTGATGAGGGCGGCAGAGCTCAGTCCTCGCCTGTGAGCGGCCGAGAGCACGGCCTACTTGGCAGCTTGTGGTGAGGCCTGAGGGCCCCCGGGGCTCAGACTTCACTCCGGGCCCAAACTGCCCTCACAGGACCCAGACCTCCACCTGGGCTCACCTACACCCGGGACCCAGACTATCATGGCGGGGCGGAGAAGATTATCCCGGGTCCTAGGCCTCAAACTCAGAATCGAGGCTTGTATCCTGGGTGTACTTCTCAATGTGTAACCCAGACCACCATTTCCATAACCCAGAGGTCCAGGGGAGGTACCAGACCGCCCCGCAGAGGCTCCACAAAGGCCCTCCCAGGACCCATTCCTCCGTCAGGGGCCCAGACCGACCTCCTGGCCGCAGACTGTTATGGCGAGGACCAGAGGCCATTTCGGGGACCCATACTGGGAGCCAGTGCCTATTCCTTATTGGAGCCCAAATAACCAGGCCAGTCCTGACCACCATTTCACCATCCCCAGTCCTGCCCTTGCCCCAAACCTCCCAGCTGGGCCCATAGCACCCCCTAGTGACCACACCCTGCCTGAGCACCCAGACCCACATCCGGGATTAGACCTACATCCGGTCCCAGACCTTCATGGCGGGGCCTAGTAGGGCCACCTGGGGCCCAGGCCACAAACCTGGAACTCAGAGTTGTATCAGGGGACGAGATCTCTATGCGTAACCCCAACAACTATTCCTTAACCAAGATGCTCAGGTGAGGTACCAGACCGCCCCGGAGGCTCAGTCTTCCCTCCAGGCCCGAACTGCCCTCACAGGACCCAGACCTCCACCTGCTCACACCTACCACCGGGACCCAGACTATCATGGCGGGGCCGAGACCCAGGCCTCAAACACAGAATCCAGACTTGTATCCTGGGTGTACTTCTCAATGTGTAACCCAGACCACCATTTCCATAACCCAGAGGTCCAGGGGAGGTGCCAGACCGCCCCTGGGGCCCAGACGTCCCTCCCTGGCCCCAAAGGCCCTCCCGGGACCCAGACCTCCGTCCGGGGCTCAGACCTCCCTCCTGGCCGCAGACCGTTATGGCGAGGACCAGAGGCCATTTTGGGGAACCATACTGGGAGCCAGTGCCTCTTCCTTTATCGGAGTCCAAATAACCAGGCCAGTCCTGACCACCATTTCATCATCCCAAGGTCCTGCCCTGGCCCCAAACCTCCCACCTGGGCCCATAGCGCCTCCTAGTGACCACACCCTGCCTGAGCACCCAGACCTCCACCTGGGGCTCACACCTAAATCCGGGACCCAGACCATCATGGCGGGGCCGAGAAGATTATCCTGGAGTCCAGGCCTCAAACACAGAATACAGACTTGTATCAGGGATGTATTTCTCAATATGTAACCCTGACCACCATTTCCATAACCCAGACCTATGCCAGACTGCCTTCAGGGGCTCAGGCCTGGCCCACCTGCAGCCCTCCTGGGACAAGACTTGAGCCAGCCAGAAAGCCAGGCAGGCAACTGGGGTCCTTCATGGCTCCCCAAACCTCCGAGGGCTGCCCACCCCTCTGTTGCCCGGCGGGAGGGATGCTCTCCTCCCTGTGGGCAGGGATGGCGGGGCCCGGGCAGGAGAGGGCGCTGGGGAACAGCTGGCCCCGGTGTGCCTGGGAGGGCCGCGGGGGCGGGGCCCCAGTGCTGGCTCCGCCGCTCACGCCGGCTGCCCGCCGGGCACGGGCCCTGGCAGCGCCGGTTTAATCGATCGTTTTCCGCAAAAGCAGCTCCTGGAGGCGCGGGGGCGGCTTCCCCTCGACTCCCGGTTCCCGGAGGCTGCGGCTTCGCTAAAAATAACTGAATGGCAGCGCCGGGCCGGCGGGGCGGGGCCTGGGCTGCGGGGCGGGGCCTGTGCTGCGGGGCGGGGCCTTGCTGCGGGGGCGGGGCCTGTGCGGCGGGGGCGGGGCTTCTGGGCTTTGCTGACGCGGAGGGGATGCCCTGGGCGGAGGGGGAGGGGAGGGTGGCAGGGGCAGGGGGTGCAGGACATGGAAGGGCGCGTGACCCTTCCTCGCCGCTCCTCTCCAGGCCTCCCCCCCCGGAGCAGAGCTGGGGGAAGGCTGGCCTTGACCCCGGGGCATCGTGGAGCGGGGCTCCCTCCAGCAGGAAGTCTGTGCGGAGGGGACCCCCCAGACACTCAGGCGGGGCCTCCACCCCTCCTGCCCCGCGCTGTCCAGTGAGCTGACGAGATGAGCCGGCTCCCCACGCGGTGGAGGCCACACATGTCCGCTGCCTGGGCGCCTGGACCGGGCCTGCCAGGAACCAGGGTCTGGGTGCGGGTCATGGTGCCATGGCTGCCTGTGGGCTATCTATCACCTTACCTCTCCAACCTCAGGGTCCCCTACCGCACACAGGCACACACAGCCGACACCGGTGCGGGTCACCCACAATGCCTGTTCCCTGGATCTCACTGGCCGCCTGGTTCTGGGGGTGACACGGAGGCTGCAGAGAGAGCAGCCCTGGCCTCAGAGCGACGGGCCAGGAGGGCAGGGGCACCTGGTCCAGTTGGCTCACACTGTGCAGGGAGGTGGTGGGGGGCTGGCTGGGGACAGGCCACCTGCAGGCTGACTCCGGCCTGTTTCCCCCCCCCCTCCCACTCCCGCCTCTAAGGACCCCCATGCAAAGGTTCAGGCCCTCACATTTCCCTCACTGGGTCTTGGGAGAGGTGAGGTGTAAGGGACCCCTTTTCACCTTCCACTCTTCTCTCAGCTGTGTCCTCTGCCCAGCTCTGGCCCCTGGACGTGAGGTCAAAGGGCAGAATTCTCCTGGCTCAGGCAGTGTGACCTCCCACCAGGTCTTTGCTGGGCCGGCCAGGCTCCCAGGGGCAGGCAGGCTGCCTGCGACCCGGTGGTCCAGCTGCCCAGGGGCCGGCGGAGGCTCAGATGGGGGTGTTCAGAGACCCCACGTCCCGAAGGGGACCCTGGCTGTGGGGA